CGGTTAGAAGCGGGCACCCTCAAGGTAATTCGCAGCCGCATACTCGGGCTATGTCCTATACACGCAGACAGTTCGCACCAATACTCGTGGCGTCACAGCTAGACGTAGTAGTACTCCGGCCTCCCGGGGCAAAGGCGCGGGTAGCGGGCGTTCCGGCAAACACATGTCTCAATCTGTCGAGCAACAGCAGAGAACCCGGCTTGGACGTGGCGCACGGGTGGATGATGGTTCCTAGCTTAAGCGTCGTACCTCTCAGGAGGACCACATCAGTCATTCCAGCTTCTCGGCCCGCTCTCCTCCGAGCCCGCCAGCCGATTTAAAGCAGGATACCACTGGTTGCAGTCTGCGGTAACCTGGGCAGTATCTTGATCGGTCAGCTTGCTACATTGTTTTCAGATATCGATACAGTTCAGTAGCATCTTTGCCACGGGATCCCCGTTCCTGTTCTCATGGTCATGTTATATGCCTGTGGTCACTGTTCTCATGATTGTATCATAGGCATGTGCTCCAGCATATAGGTCTGGTTGCACGCCCGTTCCTGTCATCTAGCTCTTGCTCTCTTCGTAGGAATATTGATCTTGTATGTGCGAGCTGACCAGACCTTGGGTGGTGCCCGTCACAATCTTTAAGACATCTCTCTACTGTGCCTGCGACTGTTGGATGGATGATCGAGCCGACTCTGGTGTGTGTCACCCTCCGCCGGGTTTCTGCTTGTATCGCCGCATCCGATTGATGCCAGTGGCAGTATATAATGTGTGTTTAAGAATAACGTTAGCGTTAGATGATGTCTTACTAAGAACAGTAAGAAAAAGAGAAGACTCAATTCCTCGTTTTGTATCTTCATGTCCAGCATTTGTGCGTTGTTCAAAAGGGATTAGGTATGGTGAGTTGTCATCGTCCGCGAACAGTGGCTTAGGTAGCTTACAGTGGCTTACACTAGCGCCAATTGCCACAGTTTGATCGACCAGCCGGATTGAGCATGACCGAAAGAATTACCAGCCAATCAGAGAGCGGAGCGCTTGGAACGCTAGTTGTGCTGGGAATGCTACTTGCGGTGGGAATGCTAGTTGACACATCAACGGCAGATTGTATCCCTGGAATGCGAAGTATCATACCCGCCTGGTGCATTTTCCCATTACGGTATTCATTCCGGTTCGGAGATCAGATCCGAAGTCCGGGGCCAAGCTCGGCCCGATAACCCACCCCAATCTCTCCAAGCGCTGTTGCCGGCAATGCAGCTCGGCGAACCGGGGTCATCGGGATGCGGGGGCAGATCCAGCGACCGGGGTCCGGGGGAGCAACAACCGAGCCGTCCATTGTCAGCTCGAGGTACATCTACCTACCACCTTCGTATCGCCAAGGACTCTCCAAGACTTAGGCTTCGACTCCTTGAACTGAATAATTAGTTTGCCCCCGTGCGACTGCTAGCCTGTCACTCACACAAGTTCGACTACCCTTAACACATTATTATCCATGTGCGACTTTTCAAGATACGGGATCCTCTCGGAGGAGTGGACTGCTCTCCAGGCATCCCTGCCCGCGCCCGCCAACACCGTCGAGTCCTACGCCCAGCTGCGGGACCGCAACAACGCCGACCGCGAGGCCCTCGCCGCTCAGGGATTCGCCCTCCTGGCCCCGCGGCTGCTCACCAAGGATCATACGATCCCGACCCGTGACGGCGCGACCCTGCAAGCCCGGACCTACCGCCTCAAACCCTCCGACCCGACCGCCGTCTCCGCAAACCTAGCCTCCGCAGACGGCCTCCTGCCCATCTATTTACACTTCCACGGCGGCGGCTTCCACGTCGGCACGCTCGCCTCCGAAGACGGCATCTGCGCCCGCATCGCCGCCGACACGGGCGCGCTCGTCCTTAACGTCAACTACCGGCACACGCCCGAGCACACGTACCCCACGCCCTTCCACGACGCGGCCGACGCCTTTCGCTGGCTGCACGCGCACGCTTCCGTCATCGGCGGCGACCCTGCCCGCGTCATACTGGGGGGAACCTCGGCCGGCGCGAACTTAACCGCCTCAGTCCTTGTCGCGCGCCACCTGCGCCTGCCCGGGTATGAGGACCTGGCGGACCTGCCCGAGCCGCTGGGCCAGGTGCTCATGACGCCGTGCCTGTATCACCTTGAGTGCGAGAGGCGGAGGTTGCTTGACGAGGCCGGGCTGGCACCGCCGAATCCCGCGAGCTCGTATGAGCAGTGCAAGGACGCGCCGGTGCTGCCTCGGTGGAAGATGAAGTACTTTATTGGTTTGCTTGGAGTGAAGCTCCCCGTGGACCCGAAGGACTATGTCCTCAATCCGGGAAACGTGCCGCCGGAAAAGGCGGCGGGGCTGCCGCCAGCGACATTTGGGATTTCCGGAGCGGATCCGCTGCGGGATGAGGGCTTGTTGTTTGCGAAGATGCTTGCTGAGAGAGGGTGAGTTCAAGTGCCAAACGCCCCCCTTGGAGATGTTCGTATTGTACTAACCGGTCTATCCTGTGTGAAAGCGTCCCCACCAACATCCATGTTTTCCCTGGCATGCCGCACGCCTTCAGAAAGTACGGGGCCGCTCTGTCGGAGTCTGCCCACTGGGACGAGGTCATGCATGGGGGGATCAAGTGGGCGCTCTCTAGACCAGTGGCGACGGGCAAGTTTGAGATCAATGAGAAGTGAACTCTGAGAGACCATGATTAGTCAAGCAGGGCTATTCCTATGAAGTATTGAAGTCCATCGATGCCCATCTCAGGCCATAAAAGTTGCTTGTGTTGTCCGCGCCGTCGATGGCCCCCGCCAGCAGGTCATCCAGCCAGGAGGTCTCGTGCGTTGGCGACGAGAAAAATGTGAGCCCGGGAAAGTCCCACTCGAAGACGAACTGCTCGGGTACGAACGACTCGAGTTCGGTTTCGGTTCCGTCGACAGCCCATTCGCCTTCGTCCGTGTTTCCAATCCTCCTTTGCTGCCCGGCAATATTGGAGTTTAGCGCATCTTGCGGAAGCGGTTCGGTGAGCCGAGCGGTCTGGTTCGGCGATTCTGTGGCTCGGCTGAACTTCTCTATGCTGACACGCACAAGGTGCAGGTAAAGACTGCTGCTGCTGTTGTTGCGTGGGCCATTTCCAGGTCCGCCAGCGGCTCTGCCGAGCTCATGTACTAATATTCGACCTTTTTTGACCAACTCCTCGTTGGTAGTCCTGCCAGCGTCAAGTCTCCCATCGCCCTCGTCCGGTAACAATATCGACAATTTCAGGAGGAGCAGGTAGCAGAAGGCGTTTTTGGCCCACACAAAGTCCATGGCGTATCGAATGCTGCGCAGATACACGCGTGGCTCCTCGAGAATGATGTCAAGGTGCTGTTTCAACGACCTCTTGGCCATACCTAGGATGGCCCTCTGGGTAGATGACATGGCGTTGACGTTCTCGACCCCGGCGGCCTTGAGCGCACAGCACACAGCCATACTGTCGGCCCAGCATCGCTGGACGGCGAGATTCGGGGTCAACCAGGGCATCCGGGCTGTGTGTTTCTCGTAAATACGTGTCCAGTCATCGAACCAGACGTTGAGGTCGATCTTGTTATCGCTGACCATTTCCATGAGCTCATCGTCGTCTGGTTCCCCTGGTAGGCGATTTCGGACGTAACTTGTGAGCGTGGAGTGTATCCTGGCCCGAATCGCGTTCAGCTCAACTTGGGCGAAGAGGTACAAGTCCATGCCAGTCGAAAAGGGGCTGTCGAGCAAGATGCGGCACCGCTGGGCGGACCCCCGAAATCGGAAGCTGGGAGCACCACCCGCATCAACGTGCAGTATCTGGCCCATCATGAGGAGGTGCAACCATGTTCGGGTCTTGCGCATCAAAGTGGCGCCGTCATCGCCAGGTTTCTCGGCAGACGAGGCGGTCGCTGGCTCCGGAAATGGGTACGACGTGGCCACCATCCCAGTTCGAGAGTTAGTGACATGGCGGGCGCTGAGAACTCCGAAAGCCTCGGGTAAACCGAGCTCCAGCGCCATACGGGTAGCAACGGCCACAAGCAGGGATCTCTCGGGGGCATAGCAAGCCCTGACGAGGAAGGCTTGCACGGTTTCAAGACAGGCCTGCTGGCCACCGCGGCTCGGCGGCGCAGCGATGGAAGCATTGAGCATCCGCTGTGTGTGCACGCCGAGACGGCGAGTCGGGTGCGACTCGGACCCCGTCATAACGCGACAGCCAACTGAACAAATTGCGCTGAAGAGGACGGCGCTGCGGTGCCGAACGCTGTCGAAGGTATCGTATGAGGGATCGAACACGGGCACATACCGGTCGCAGCCCGAGAAAAACGTGCCGAAAAAGGACTCGGCGGCTTCGCGGGTGATCAAGCCGGCGGTGATAGGGTCGAGATCCGGGATTGTCGGTGGGGTGCCGGCCTCAAAGTGTGCTCTGTTCCTCTTCTGAGGCACTGCTGTCCTCGTCAAAGAGTCGCCTGAGGGGCGAAGAGACGCTTCCTGAGCCATTACGGCGCTTTCAGTGACAGGAAGTGCGACTCCAGCGACTTCCAGCGGCATCCCAGGCCAACTGCAGGGACTCGGCACCGAATTGGAGTTGTTGGATGGTGTTTGCAATTGCGTCTTTAGTGATTCGATTTCCTTTTCCAAGGCCTCCATTTTCCTGTTTGAATTGTTCAGCAATTCCTCGTACCAAGGGCCAACAGTTGAGCAGGTCTCACGTTTCATATGGATCCTTTGGGCGCTCGACAAACTCGCATATCTTCTGCAGAGTGCGACAACTTGCGTAAGGCGGCAATGCGGGTCAGAAAGATCGATGTCCTCTCAATCTGGCCATTGGATTGCGAGGCTCACCGAGAGCATGGCCGCAGCCCATCGCATTTCACCTACAAGATCAGCGCATTAGCATCCCCCAGATGCGGGTGCGAATAACCATGATCTCTGGCCTACCTTGGAGACTCGACACGACCCACAGGCCTTCTTTTGACGACCGACGATCCCGTCAGCAACGAACCCGGGCCATCATCATTTTGCCGGATTTTAAGCGTTAAGAACTTGAACGTACCGGGATTCGCTTCTTGCGGGCCGGACCGGAATCGGGTGATGCCTCATTGTGAAGAAGAGTCTGCATGGCGAAATTCGATGTCCCATGACTCAACTATTAACCTTTGTCGGAGATGGTTGCATATGAGCGGCCCCGCTGGGTTGCATCGGACAAAAAAGGAGTTTCTCCAGGTGAGCTTCCCCGCATGTGCTCCGCATGCCGAGCGAGCCACCATCGATCTTGGCGGTGGGGCTGAATGCGGAGAAACAGTGGGGTCGATCGATCTACACGTGTATCTTTTCGTTGTCGATCCAATGTTCCAGACAACCATCGAAGAACTCCACTTTCAGCAGATCAACGATTAACACGACGTAGGACAGTTGCCAAGGGGCATCCCACTATCGAAGATCATTTTTGCATAACGTTATATCCTTTATGGCATTTGTAGTTACATCTTAACATCAACCCTAACGGTAACTTTCGGCATCATTCCAGCTCAGCTCAGCTCAGCTCAGCTCAGCTCAAACCGGTTCCTTCCTTGCTCATCGACGCCCAGCTCGACCACCGTCCTTCCATCCTCGCTGACCACCTTCCGCTGATCGCCCGATGGCAAGATGACAACGAGCGTCTTCCACGGCGCCTCAAAGCCCGACGACTCATCCCTCGAGAATTTTACCTTGATCTCACCCGACGCTCCCGTGGCCGTGTAGGCGAAGGTGTATGATGACACCTTATTTATATGCACAGCTGACACGCCGTCGTCTTCGTGCCACGTCGTCTCGTGCCACTGGCCATTCTTGGACTGTCCCTTTGGCGGGAAGACCTCGACGCCGCGGTAGTCGTCCAGCGGCAGCTCTGCCACGTTCTCCGTCTCTCCGGGAGACAGCACCTGCACGTCGTGGCCAACGGGGATAGCCGCTCCCACGCGCGCAAGCACCGGGATGCCGGCGCCGTGCCACTCGGCGTCGATGTCGACCCACTGTCCCGAAGCGAGGTACTGGAACGGCGCGTTGGTGTTCATGAAGCCTTCATCGATGGCAGCATCCGCTGCCCTGGGCAGGTAGACGCGACCCTTGGACGCACCCGGCTCGTACACACCGCCGACGAGCATCGCGTCGCCGAGCCAGTACTGCGTCTCGCCGTCCATGATCTGGGACGTCCACACCTCCGGGTCCGACTCGTACCCCCAGCCGGTCCAACGCTGCGGCGGCGTCGCGGTGCGGTGGCTGTCGAGCATGAGCGAGTAGAGGTAGGGGATGAGCGCGTAGCGCCGCTTGATGGCCTTGCGCACGAGGTGCGTGATGGACGGGTACATCCAGGGCTCGATGACGTCGCCGACCGAGTTGTCGCCGCTGGCCGTCTTGAAGCAGTTGATGGCGAACCGCGGCGAGTGGATGCCCAGCTGCACCCACCGCAGCAGCAGCTCCGGCGACGGCTGCTCGCCCTCGAACCCGCCAATGTCGTGCCCGTAGCACTGCATCAGGCTCATGCCCGCGTTGAGCGAGACGGCGTTGGCGCCCTTCATGCCCGCCCAGCTCGTCACGTTGTCGCCGCTCCACGTGCTGGCGGCGTACCGCATGGTTCCGGCCGTCGCGCTACGCGTGAGGACGAAGGGGCGGATGTCCGGGTGAACGTCGACGAGGGCGTCGTGGGATGCTTTGCCGTGGAGTTCGGTGTGCATGTTGCGGCCCCAGACGCCGACTTGGGGTGTCTTGTCGGCGCCCGGCGGGATCTGCAGGGAAGGGAGGTCCAGGGCGCACCGCCAGTCGTCGTCCGGGATGGTGTATTCGTTGTTGTCGTTCCACATGCAGTCGATTCCCTGCCGGGCCAGCTCGCGGACCCCGTTGTACCACCAGTCGAAGCCCGCCTTGGAGGTGAAGTCAATGTGGCCACCGTCGGCACTCTCGCCGCCGCCGGCGCTCCAGAGCTTGGTCACGGCCGTCTTGCCCGTCCGCGGGTCCGTGAACAGCGCCCCGGCCGCCTTGAGCTTCTCGTACTCCGGGTGGCTGCCAATGACGTACGGCTTGATGTTGGCAATCAGCCGGATGCCGTGCTTGTGGTATTCGCGGATCCAGCCCTCTGGGTCCGGGAACCGGTGGCGGTTCCACGTAAAGACGTTGCGCGTCTTGGGGGGTGTCGCCGAGACGGTGTAGCCCGACGACATCTGGTGGGCGGAGCAAGGTATGTCGTACTCCTTGAACTTGCGGGCGAGCGCCATCATGGCCTCGTGCGCGGGCGGGTCGTCGAGCATCGAGTACTTCATGCCGCCCGAGAGATAGCCGAACGCCCAACGGGGCACGAGCAAGGGGTAGCCAGCGATGTCGGCGTAGGTTCGGACGATGTCCTTCAACGTCTTGCCCACGATGATGTACTCTTCCAGGCCGCCATAATCGTGGCGGTAGACCTTGTAGAAGCCCCACATGCCGTCCATTTCGGCACCGATCGAGTACTGGCCGCGGCCCTGGCTGGTCGAGAAGGTGGCCACGCAACCGTCCGGAGTGGCGTTGATCAGGAGCGGAATGTTTTTGTACAGGGGATCGGTCCGGTAGACGTCGTAACCGAAGCTGTCTGTTGCCGAGAGCTCGAAGCGACGGCCCGAGAGGTTCATAGGGGCTGCCTTCTCGCCCAGGCCGACGTGTAGCGTATTGCGGTTGTAGCGCGTGTAATGGGCAATGCCCGGCCCGTCTACGACGTAGCTGCGATTCGGCAGATCTTGGAGGATCGGGAACTTCTGGCCCTCGATCGAGATGGACACCGATGGCGTCTCACCCGCAAAGTCGACGTTGGCTGTGATGTCGCCGATCTGGATCTTCTTGCTCCTGTCGGTCGATGTCATGATGGGCCGAACGCCATCCAGCTTTGTCTCCATCCTGGGGACGCTGGGATATGGGGGAATGGGGTGCGTTTCCGACTTGAAGGTCGTCCTGAACACATTCGGGCGGACGGCCTCGAAGGAGAACTCAAATGGTGGAGAGGACGGGTCGGAGGAGTTCAGTGTCAGTGACGGAGCATTTCCGCCGGCCTCCTGAGAAGGACACAGGGTCCAGGAAGAGGGAATGTGTTCCCTTTGCGGAGGCATCTTTGAGCAGGACCCGTTAGGTTGGGGAAGGGGATATCGACGGAGCTGGATCTCTGTGGTTTCAAGTCCAGCTACACAACTGCAGAAGGCTCAATGTCATAGACGGAGCACGATCTGAGGGGGGTGGAACGAAGCAGGGGAGAATAAATGGTCAAAGCTATCGAGATGAAGCGCCGACCCCGCGACGTCTTAAAAGCGCATGCCTTCTTTTTTCCAATGGGGGATGGATCCCCGCCGGCGTTGACCCCTCTTGAGCTATATCACCTCCGGCCATGTCCCCGCCAAACCGGATTCGCCGCTCATGGAATTGGGGACGAGTTGGGGAAGGGAGACGTCTCTTGCGGCGGCAGACCGCGAACTCATGCCTAACTGGGTTAGCTAAAGGGGCTGGTCTCGGTCGAAGCACCCGAAGTCCGATCCCTGCTTCTATCCTCCGGCCCTAGAGGCCTTGGCATGCCGCTTTTTTTCCTCAGCTTGGACCGATGATCATGATGTCGTACGGACATATGGCGTACACATCAGGAGTCGGAGATGCCGAGGTGAGAGCCGACCCCAGCAGGATGTCAAGTCCACGTGTCTCACTGCAATCAACCCCGGTTTCCCCGCATCGTTCCCGGCTTTGAAGGGATCCCCATGGGGTCGCGGCCCAGCTTCGGCACCTTGGCCGTGGGTGGGTTCCAGGATCATGTATGGAGTCGGAGGTTCCCAGGGACATGCCTGTGATATAAATACAGGTCACAGAAGACATGATGGATTTGTGTCGTGACACTCCATTGCAACTTGACTTCCGGTTCACAGGTTTGTGGCAGCAGCACTCCTCCGCTTCTCCTTCGATCAACCATGGCGGACAAGACCGAGAGAGACGATAGCGCTCCAGAGACCGTCCGGGTCGAACAGGCCCAGCTCGACCGGGACGTCGAGGGCAGCCTTCACAAGCCAGCCGCAGACAAAGATGTCAAGGGTATCGACAAGGCCGCCGAGTTTTTGAAGCAAGCGGACCACCAGGTTGTCGTCACGCTCCGCGACAGCCGACGCGTGGCAAAGCTGATCGACTGGAGGATCCTGCCCGTCTTGCTGTAAGCATTCTCGCCACAAAAGCGCCGCCTGAAATGGCACACACTGACCTCTTTTAGGGTCATCTACTGCCTCCAATCCCTCGACAAGAATACGCTCTCGTACTCCGCCGTCTTTGGTCTCATCGCCGACACCGGGCTTAAGGGGGATCAGTATTCATGGCTCGGCTCCGTCGTTTACGTTGCTCAGTTGGTTTTCCAGCCGCTGGTGGCTTACATCCTGGTCAAGTTCCCGGTCGGCAAGTTCTTGGCCTTCATGGTCTTTGCCTGGGGCGCCATCCTGTGCGGCATGACCGCTGCGCACAACTTCACTGGGTTAATGGTCTCGCGGCTGTTCCTTGGTATCTTTGAGTCTGCTGTCGGTACGTACCTGTTCCTTCTGAATCTCGTCGTTCTGAGAGCGGGAGGGTTCACTAACTCGGGCCTTTCTGCCTAGCTCCCACCTTCGTTGCCGTCGTCCAAATGTGGTACAGACGCCGAGAGCAGACAAAGCGCAATGCGGCGTGGTACGCCATGTTGGGCGTTATCAACATTCTCGGTAGCTTGTTGACTTATGGTCTCGGCCACATCAACTCACCGGTCCTGCGCTCCTACCAAATCATCTTCCTCTTCTGCGGGTGTCTTACCGTGGCCTGGTCGATTGTCACATTGTGAGTTGATCAGCCAACTGACCCCCATCAGATGCATTGCTGACACGGCCACTGCGCTCAGCATCTTCATGCCGGACTCGCCTATGACTGCTAAGTTCCTCAAGCCAGACGACAAGCTGATTGCCATCGAGCGACTGCGGATGAACCAGCAGGGCATTGGCTCAGGCGTGTGGAAGTGGGATCATGTATGGGATGCCATGCTTGATCTCAAGACCTGGTTGTGGTTTACCATCATGTTCATCATCTCGTGCGTCACGCCAACGAGAACTAGAATTTCCCAGGCAGACCCCAAGCTGACCGTGCTCTTCAACCAGCATCCCAAGCGGCGGCATCTCGACCTTTGGGCCCCTGATCATCGAGTCATTCGGCTTCGACCGCTTCACGACCATCCTCTTCAACATCCCCTTCGGCGCAGTGCAGATGATCGCCACCCTCGGCGGCGCCTGGCTCTCGGACCGGATCCGGATGAAGGGCCCCGTCCTTATCCTGCTCTGCATTCTCCCAATCGCGGGCTGCTCAATCCTGCTGGCCGTCGGCCGCGCTGCGAGCGACCGCGCCGTGTTGCTGTTTGGCTACTACATCATCTCGGTCTACCCTGGCATCTCGCCGCTCATCTACTCTTGGTCGGGCCAGAATACGGGCGGCGACACCAAGCGCAAGGTCACGACGGCTATGCTCTTTATCGGGTCCAACGCCGGCAACATCATCGGCCCGCTGCTGTTCCGGCCCGAGGAAAAGCCCCGCTACACGCGCGGGCTGACGGCCAACCTGGTGCTATTTGTTATCTTGGCCGTCGAGATCGGGCTCGGGATGCTCCTGATCAAATTCCTGAACGTCAGGCACGCGAAAACGCGCGTGGCGCTTGGGAAGCCCGAGAAAATTGTCGATCTGAGCATGGTCGACAACCGGGCGGTCGAGGACGAAGACGAGGTCTTGAACCAGGCTGATGGTCATGTCGGCGAGAGGGGCTTTGAGGACTTGACGGACCTTAGGAACGAGGACTTTATCTACGTGTACTAGTGCCGCTTAAAGAAAGTGCTACAACCGTGTTGCAGTTTTCCCTGATTGCGGGTCGCGATGTCTTCGACGTGTCATGGTTGGCTAGGCATATTGTTGGCAAATGTCTGGCTTTCGGGTCCCCAATCCCGGCTAAAGGGTGCCGTCTCGGGAGTTCTGTCGTGTGCGAAGTCTTTGATTTGGCTCCTTGTATTGAGTTCCGTATGTCTTCTACAACTGCCGCAGCCAATCTAACCCGGCGATATAGGCCAGAAGGGCGGGTCTGAGGATAAATCTCCAACTCATTATCTGCCCTCGATGTTTTCAATAGACCGGGACATAGAAAAGGAGGCCGGTGTGTCCTCACACCCAAAATGTGCCCTGGACATAGCATACCTTGTGTATTGCGACTCGAACACATGCCACCCGGGGAATCACAACATATGATCCACTTACATACAGCTCTGTTTGGCATTAGCTTGGGTCTGGTCTCCCAAGTCATAGCAGAATGCAGCAGAGCAACCCTGCAGGAGGTGACGGCAGCATACGTCCGAGCCCAAGCTGCGGGACAGCCGGGTCTCCTCAATCTAGCCAGCAACGTCAGCTACGCCGAGAACGACACGCCCATGGACATTAAGACGGGTGTCATATCCCAGACCATCACCATCGACTTCTCCCGCAGCCTCCACGACACGGTCGAGTGCGCCGCCTTCACCGAGATCACGGCCGCAACCTCTCCCCATCCCTACGTCATCCACACGCGGATGCTTGTCGCGGCAGCAGACGGCCGAGTAACTGCCATCGAGTCGGTCGTGACAGACGAAGGCGATTGGGTCTTCAACGCGACGGGCCACCTGTACTGGACCCAGCAGGAGAACTGGAATCCCATTCCCGCCGACCAGCGCGACAGCCGCGAGACCATCCAGGCAGCAGCAGACGCCTACCTCGACCAGTGGGCCGATTCGACGCTACCGGTCCCGTTGGGCACGTCGTGCGCCCGGCTCGAGGGCGGCATGTACACCGGAGAGAGGAACGCGTCGGCCAACACGTGCCGCATGCCTTCGTTTCCGACGCCCATTTTGGCGGGGAATCGGAGATATGTCATTGATGAGGCGCTGGGCGCGGTCGATGTGTTTAATGGGTTTCCGTGGCTGGAGCGGACGCTGCCGCCAGAGGAAGCGGTGCCGAGTAGCAACATGGTGAGGGTCGAGCGGGGGTTGATCCGTTATGTGCATGAGATTACCGTGTGCGTTACTGCGAGGTGCGGAAGATGAAAGTGCAGAGTATTCCGTACAGAGTGAAATATTTTCTCCTCGGCCTCGGCGTGGGTTGAGAGTGCGCAGCGGAACAAGTTGCTCAGTTGGCCGCAACCCATGTTGTTGATGAACACCGCAAAGAAACAAGGTAGCAATTTCCTTTCACTTTAGAAAAAAAAATGAGATGCGCGAGTGGCTTACCTGGCGTACATTCGTTTCTATGGGTAATCACAGTACTTCACATCGACCCAGCTGATTCAGGGTATCACATGCTCTTGTTCTCCTCCTGACCTCACGCTGAGATCAGCGTCATCTGTTTTCTCTACATCCGGTTAGATTTCGGGAGCAGCCGCTTGCCGAAGATGAATCAGGAATCTTGCAGGCGCGCCATCCGATTCAGATGCTGGTCACTTGTTTGTTTCGCGAACACTATCAGCAAGGGTGAGTTCCAGATGCCCCAGTCCCATTTGGCATTTGCGCCACAGAACGACGTGTTTCCGCGGAGCCAAGCCCTATCTCTGCTCCAACACCACTCGCCTGGCTGAGCCTTATCTCCATACGATATCGTCGAAGCTGACCCCTGGCGACCTCATCTCTAGATTTGTTTTTGAGCAGCGCATTTCCGGCTCTCTCAGCCAACTCGTCCATCTTTGATTCCTGAGACACTGAGCCTAACCCCCAAATAAGGCCCTTCGCTTCTCGCCAACCTCATGCGCAGGCGGACCCCCACGCCCACTCAACCCTGTGCAGGCTGGCCGGTCCCAAACTTGAACTTGCGACGGATAAGGGCTCATCATCACCAAGTCGGAGAAGCGAGACAATGCAGCGGCAGGGGCTGCCATGGCGACAAGCAGCTGAATCCCATATCTTTGGCTCGCACCCTGCAGAGCAGGAAGTGAGGCAGACATGAGACTTGGAGGGCGAACCTACCCTGGGTCATGTCCCAGTGACCAAGATAGGACCTCCCTAAGGCTTCCAATGCTGTTCCTTCCAGTATTTTATGCCGGAAATGCCCAGTTGTGCACCCGCCGTCTTGGACTGTCTTGGGAGGCAATACACGATAAGACTACTGAGAATTGTTGCTTGTTTCTTCTCCCCTAGCATTTCGAGCCCTGCCTACTGTTTTCACGCCAGCAATTCGGGAACTTTGATCACCCCAACTCCCAAACCAGAGCTGCACCTGCATCCGATATTTCATTTTCCGCGAGATAAGCCCCTCCTAGGGTCGTTGAGGCCATCGAAGGCTTCGAAGGACGTGCTCATAAGAACACACGGGCCCCTTACGGCCACCGGTGACGATGAAGCCACAATGACTCCACGCTGCCCTGGTCCTGTCGATCGTCAACACCCAATGCGGTCGTGATCATCATGTATGTCGGCTTCGACATCGCTCCCCGGACGGCTCTGGCCGCGCCGACTGAGCCCTTTATCATCCGCGCCCAGAGCGCCGTCATCCTAGTCGTCTCCCTTCTGTCGGTGGTTGGAGGGGGATGGATGGTTGCGAGCTTCTTTGTGAGTCCCGCTCGGCGAGTCTTGAGATGACCACATGTGCACCTCAGTCAACCAGGGACCGGTCTAACGTCGACTGTCGGATGTTGCTGTTTAGGTCTTCTCCAACCTTCGGAGCTTCCGCCATCAGTTGATCCTCGGCCTCGCCATTAGCGACTGCGTCATGGCCATCAACTTTCTGCTGTCATCGTCCATGAATGTCGGCGGGCTGTGGATCGGGGCACCCGAGCAGGGCAGCTTCTGCACCTTCAACGGATACATGACCCAGGTGTTTGTGATTCAGACAGACTACTGGGTCTTTGTCATCGCCGTGTATACGTATTTCGTCCTGACCGACCAGAAGCGATGCTCCAACTGGATTCAAGCACATCCCTTGGTCCCCTGGGTCCTCCCCTGGGTCCTCTCAATCGCATGGGCTTCGGTCGGTCTGGGCGTCACCGGCTATGGTGACATTGGAGCGTGGTGCTGGTTCACCTCTGATGAAGTCCGACTGTTGGTCAACTTTGTTCCACGATGTAGGTGCCGACATTGTAACACACCTCCGAGCGTCACACTAACAAACCCCAGGGACCATCATCTCCATCATGTTTTTGATGTATGCCAGGCTGTACTTCCTCCTCTTCCGAGCCCACCGCCGCCTGGTCTCGCTGGATGACTCCTCGTCGAGGAACCTGAGCGGTTCTGGCTCTCGCCAACTCGACGGCAGTGGGTCCGGCGGGCGCGCCGTGCCAGCCAGGCACACCCGCAAGCTGAAAAGGGTGAGTCAGGAACCGCATCTTCCCCCATGACCTATGGCCGCATGAACACTAACCATCAACTCTCCACCTTCTGATCAGCTGGCCCGGCTCATGCTCCTCTACCCCCTAGCCTACGCCGTAATCTGGTCCCTCCCGACCGGCATCCGCATCTACCAATCCGCCAGCGGCCAGTCGGCGCCCTGGCAGCTGCAGACGGTCGACAAAGCCTGCATCGTCCTGCAGGGGCTTGTTGACGCCATCATCTACGGCGCCACCGAGTCGTCCCTCTCCAGCTGGCGCAGCCTCCTGTTCCCGGGCCGCTTCCCCCCCGTCATCACCGGCACGCCGCCGGCCCTCGGCTATGGCGACCTGAGCGGCACCGGCGGTTCCATGTCGACCAAGCGATGGAGCTCGGCAGGAGGGCGTGCCGCCGCCGCCGGCGGAGGTGGCGGTGGGGGACAGAAGCAGCACCAGCACCAGCAGAACATGCAGATGCCGAGTAGGTCGTCCATGGACGGCGGGGCTATTATGATTACGCCGTCTGCAACCACCCGGTCGGCAGACTCGTTGGGGTTGTCGGAGGGCGGCGGGACCGGGACGGTGGTGGGCTCGAGCGAGCAGATCGAGCTGGCCTCGCTGGAGGAGCAGGGGGGCGGCGACCTGGAGAGGGGGATGGGGATTCGGAAAACGGTCAAGATCGAGGTCAGCATCAGCAGCGGCGCGGGCCAAGAGGACCATCGAATGGAGCCGCAGAGGCCGCGGAAGGCGTATTTCCCTGATGATTCGGATGGCACGTTTTTGGATTTGTCGTGACAAGCTGTGGTGGTTGTTGGATGAACTCGGATAATACCGGGCCAATGCCAGTGCTCTCTACTGTAACTCTTATGATTAATGTTTGGCCACATCTGCTCATTCCGATTCTTCTGTAGGGAATTTGCCCACAACACTAATGTACTCTCATATCCGACTAACCTTCACTCCGGCTTCTGTCCAGTAATGACCAAAAAGTCAAAGAGTGCATGGGCATCCCCTTTCTTCACAGCGTTCCGGACGCCTGTGTTGAGGACGGCAATCTCCTCCTTCTTCCACCCAAGCACATCGGCGAACAAGACCGCGGTGAAGGCTTCGACCCCCTCCTTGAAATTCACCCCCAGCAATGTGCCAATCTCCTTGAGTCTCGGGTCCTTGGGCCATGAGCCAACAGGTAGCTTGAAGGTGTCAACCTTGACGTTCATAAACCCCGCCTCCCTCACCCACTGTTCCATACTCGGCGCCGGGTCCATGGTGCGCCCAATCTTCTCACAAGCTTCCATCAAGCCCTCCATCATGGTCACCATCGGGTTATCTTTGGCGAGCGTCCCATCCTGACTATAAAGGGTGTTCGCGCTCTCCTGCAGCTCGACCCAGCCACCGGGCTTCAGGTTCTCGTACATTTGCCTGATCAGCCTCGGCCAGTCCTTGATGGAGCCCGCCATGTAGCGGCAGTGGATGAAGTCGTACGGCTGCGGCTCCAGCCAGTCCTGCTCCACGTCGTCGACAATGAAGCGAACATTGGGCGGACACCACGTCGGCTGAATGGCCGACAGGTCGTTGCCGACAATCTCGGCGGCGCCCGGGTAGTCGTCGCCCAGATGGATCGCCCACATGCCGGTGCCGGTTCCGATGTCCAAGACACGCAAGCCGGCGTTGGGGTCCACGGGCGCGAGGAAGAGGCGGTCGTTCAGACAGCGGAAGTAGACGTGGTGGATCATGTCCAGCCGCTCCTGCTCGGGCTCGTCGTTGGGAAAGTTGTAGGCGCCCGCGTTGTAGGCGTGGTAGCGGCGCCCGTGCTTCCACTCGTACCGGAGCACGCTGCTGCGGAGCGACGTCGAGGCCGACGAGACGCCGTCGCCGTACGCCGAGTCCCGTTCATCCTGCTCTCCCTGAGCAGTGTCCACTTCCACGTGGTCCGGAGAGGAGGGAGCAGCCATGTTTGTGGTGCGCAGTCGGTAATATTAGCGGGCCGTTCCACTTAATGTGGGAGCGTGGAAGGGTGGGGAAATGGGGAAGTCAAATGTGGACAGTGAAGGCCCTTTTAGAACCTAAGAGGCGACATGTCCTAGACTAATCAGCAACTGCTGGGTCTTCCATCGCGTGGTACCTTCTTCAAACCTTTAACAGGGCGGGGACAAAGTCCCGGCAAGGATGCCAAATCCGTGTCGCGTTCGGAGTCAAAGCGAAGCGTTGTCCAATGAACGCAAAATCGCGATCCGGCTTGCAACGCTCCTGCAGCCGCTACCGGCTTCACTGCAGTTCCCAAGGATAAGAGGCGGGGTTGCACAACAGCAATGCGACGATGCATCCGTACCACAGTACTCGGGGCTGGCCAGAGAACTTCTTTACCACAGTACGGACGTATCATAGAAAAGAACTTCTTTACCGCAGCAGAAAGGGGTTGTCTGTTCTCCTGTCTGGCAGACTGAAGCCCAGACCTACAACCCCCGAGTACATGGAGTGTAGTTACCCCAGCCCCAGTTCTGCCGCCCCCTTGGGCGGCCTGCAGGCGCGTGCGGAACAGCTCGGGGAGACGGCGGTGGGCCGCGCCCCACCATATCCATATCTCTTGCAACCAGCTCCCACTGCCTGTTCACCACACCACAGCATACCGACCACATGGCAATAAGGCGTCCTTAACACCATCACTATTCCGTGTGCCTGCCTTCAACAAGATCTCATCTCAGCGATCTTGCAATGACGATTACCAGTTCAATTAGTGCAGATATAAATTCATTCGCAGAAAAACAGGTACGTTGCCCGTGAGCCAGTGCTTTTTTTAAAACTGTCCCACTCTATGACCCCATCACGCGTCTGGCTGTATCGACACGCCGTACTCATCATGGAAGAGCACGTCGAAACTGACGCCGCGGCTCACAACGAGGTCACAGGTGTAACGCGTTGTCTATGACTAGCTCGATCGAATCCGGTCTTTAGCTCGCGCGGTTGGCTTTGAGGGTCTTCTGATCGGCAAACCACTCTCGCTCCCGACAGATTCGTCGTGAAAGTCCGACGGACGGCCTCCCTCAGGCTTTGCTCCAGCACCGCACATAGGTATGTGGCTGGTGCAGACCTCCAGCCTGTGTAGCTATCTTCCACTCTCAGGCTGCATACATCGCATTGCATTGCCCGCGTCCCGCGCCACTCAGTTGCCTACCCGCATCGCAACAGAATCAGTCATCCAGGGGCCTGCCAGCCGAATCTCACGACTGAGAATAATGGCCCGTTCCGGCCTGACTGCCCTGCCTCTCGAGCTCCTTGCGCAGATCTGTGGTTATCTCTGCTGGCACTGTTGGCCCGAACAATCATCCGCCACACAGTTTCCCTCAGGAAACAACCAACATGACCGAGTCAGGGACTTGCTGAGCCTCAGTCATGTCTCGAGGTTGCTGCATTGGACGGCTGAACCGTTCTTATATCATTCCCTGCACATTACTCGAGAAAGCGGCCTTTACTTCTTCGTTCGAACTCTCTACAACCGGCCAGACCTGGCGGTAAACGTGTTCGAGGTCAAGATCAGAGAGCGCGCCAGGGTGCCTACCACAGGACGCCACAGCCCGAATCCGTTCGATGGAAGTTGCAATTCAGAACCAATACTCGACGCAGTGCAGAGTCGTCTTCGCGAGGCGGGTCTGGTGCCGGTCCAGACCGTCCAATCCGCTCTCGCACCACAGCAAGTGTTCGATGCTCAGCAGAGGCAGGCGACAGAGAATGCGGCCCTGATCTCGATGCTGTTCCAACTCGTGCCGAACGTCCGGAGCTTGCATCTGCCCTTGCAAAGTAAGGGACAATATCAGATTTTCATACCGCCAAACGACTTATGTCTCACATTGCCGTCACTCAGAACCCTGGCTTTGACCAGCTCCGTTCCCGGACCTCCACTTGATGAAGCCACACCCATCTTGCAGTTGGCGCCCAACCTCGAAATTTTACACTGCCACGGCTGTGCATCTGTTACCGAGCAGTTTTCGACCCTCTTACGCCCAACGACGGTTGCCGAGCCGTCTCCGCTCCAGAAGCTCACGGAACTGGCCCTCATTGACACTCACCTGACGGCAACCTCTTTCGGCAGCCTTATGAGCGCGGTAGGGCCGTACCTTTCAAAGGTGGCTATCCATCGAACATCGAAATTCCCCCTGCCCTGGGAATGGGATGACAGCCACATTATTGAGTTTAATGAAGTCCTTACCGCCCTGCAGCCGTGGACTGAAAACCTCAAAGGACTGTCTTTCACATTATACGGGACCTCAATGCCCCGAGAGGCGCAACACCTTCGTAGCGTCAACATGCTACGCAAGTTTCAGTCGCTTGAAGTTCTACGAGTGCAGGTAGCTTGCCTCGACTTCTATGGACATGTAGGGCCGAGACAAGACGCCCTTGTCTCGACAATTCCCAATAGCATCTGCGAGCTGAGCCTTGTTGGCTACAGCAATCTCACACCGGCTCTTCAAGCGTTGCTAGAAAGTTTCAGAGCCGGCAAGTTTGAGAAACTGTGCAGGATCCAAATCGACGATCAGGGCTACGAGGAGTTTGAGCCAGAGGGGGAGGCAGCACAGGAGCTAAGGGAAGTCGGTGCTTCGTTTCAGTCCGTCGGTGTAGACTTTGTTGTCCTTCCTGGGCCGGAGAAGCCTGAGATTGAGGAGGAATAATGATTAACAGGTAGCTCTTGAGTTTGATTGTATTGTACGGAGTGGAGGTTGCATGGAGTTTGGGAATCCAAGTCGGAAGAGATTCATGACGGCCTTTGATATTGACAGCACATGAGGGCATGTCGCCGCTTGATTCATGTTCCTGCTCTATCAACAGGGATATGTTTACTTTTCTGCGAGCTTGCCTTGCGGCTAATGACTTCAGGCTGGACGCGGCTTGAACCCTATCCCAGTTCCGGCAGCCCATTTGAAATAGGCTTCCATTAAGTTGAAGCTGACATGCAGCAGCCCAAGACCGCAAAGCAGTAATGTGCACATGACGCTCGCAACTAGCGATTAGGCGTTGCTCCGTCAACACACTGCTCTTTTAAACTCGGAGTGACGGAAGATGGCGAGGGAGACGGGAGGGAAAGGCACTCACAAAAAGCCCCGAACACATCGACCTTGCAACAGCTCGAATCCTTGGGCGGCAAAAACCCGTCAGTTTGCAGCGCCATGAGACTGAATATCCAAGATAGGGGCCCCTATTGTTAATTACCAGTGATAGTGGCCTTGTCAGTAGCGATTGACTGCGGGTAACTTGATGCCCTGCAGGGGATGAAGGCACGTACGTAGATAAATCCATGGCGGCAAACACTTAGAGGGCCTGCGACTAAATCAAGAGCTGGTCCGCTTGCTTCCCAGAGCAGATGGCGTTCTCGGTCGTAGCCCGTCTGTGACAGAGGGAGAGAAGGGTGATGATCTGCCAGCATTGTCTCAATTTTGGGTCGGGCCTCTGGCATTGAGGGGAATGATAACGACCGAATCCCTGACTCGCGTGGCATTATCCTCCAGCCTTTCCAGCTTGGCCACCATGTACAGCGACTTGGGTGAGCGCATGTCATTCAGACCATTCTCCATTGCTTCCTCGCGCGCTTGAGAGTCCTTAGAAGGCTAGTAAATCCTCATATTTCTTCACCCCTATTCAGCCTGGTAGGCCATCTCCTTCTGACCTCGTCTCACGACCACGCAGATATGGTCTTGGTCTTGCTGTACGCGCAAAATCATGTGGATCTCGTTAATGATGTCGTCGATCTGGACGAACAGCTCAGTATCCCTCGTGATGGCGTAGGGGAAGATTCTGATGACATTGCCGAGGGCGGCCTCGAACGTGTCGTGGCATCTTGTCACTTCGCTGAACTGTTGCATGCGTGAGCGAAATGTAAACACCAGCTTGAAATGCTAGGATTGCGGGTTGAGCCCGCCACGAAATTAATCTCGGCTGCAAAGACTTGCAAGTAGCTGCTGCTGCCATCAGGTGTCGATATTGCAACTTCAAAGTCCAGCGTCTCCATGACAATATCCCTGACGACATCGTCCGCGGTCTTTTTAGCGTCATCCGACTCAGTCAAATTCAACATACCCCAGCCGACTTTGGATGAGCTGGGAAATTTGGTGCTGGGCAGGCATCCGCCGATTTTTGGGAAAGCCGTCACCACTGTGTCTGCAGCCCCAGATCTTGTCAATTTGAGCATCAGTGTAACGGGATATCCGGGGAGCGCCTGCCCCCGACGACCCAGAACCATATTTGCGGCACCGTGAGGACTTGCTGTCGGACGGGTTTGCTGTCTGTTCGGCGCTCCGTTTCTCGGTCGTTCATCCGATGACACTATCTGTCGACATCAGAGTCATCATCGTCATCGTTGCCAGCGTGGAGGGAGTACTCTGTGCTGGGCGACGACTGGGGTGCGGTTGAATGGAACCCAAGGATACCGTGCACATCTCGCCACGTTTTGGACATGGCTTTTCAAATCTGAGCCTGCTGGTCCACGTGCTGGCTCTCAAGCTGCGACAGTGTAACAGGCCCTTTCGATGTCCCCCTTGAGACGATCATGTGTGATCATTACTGTCGGTATTGGACGAGTCCCTGTAAGCGGCCCGGGGACCATGACGAACTGTTCCGTCGCCACCATTCGCATGTGTGCCCATTCTCCAAGTGCGCGTGTTCTTCCCCTTGCTTCTTCTGACGTCCATAGAAACAGCTGTGTGTGTTTTGTAACTCGATTCCTGGGTTATCAGGCCGGATTCCTTCAAGATAACGGGACACGACTCGTTCCCCGTTTCTGAAGTCGGGCTCATCCCTGTCAATGAACTCATGCAAGTACTCGTCCAATGTGCGGCTTCTGTTCACAGTCTCTGGATACGCTTGTTTCAGCCTTCTCAATCGAAGCATAGAATCACGCTCATCGTTGTTGATCCTTTCGTCGGCCCGGCTTACAGACTTTGGTCCGGAGTAGACGCGTCTCGGATCGGAATAGGCAGGCTGCTGCATCCCACGTCGATGGCCGGAAACTTGGAGAATGGTTGGCACCCAGTCCACCGGTGTAGTTTCCTTCGTTCGGATAGTTGTACTAACTACAACTGAGAGGAATCTGGTCCCATCATCAGACTCAGACCGAACAACCTATTCATCTAGTCCGTAGTGAGCTTGAGCGATCCGTCAGGTAGGGCTCCCTCCATTGAAATGCAACGGCCGGTACAAACTTCTCGTATCCAGGATTCAACAATTCATTGACTGATTCATTAACCTGATACACAAACAAGGATTGTTTGAAATGCATTAGTTCTTCGTAAAGCATTGGTAGTTCGGTGTCGTCGGCGTTCGCGTCCTCCCTAGTAACTGACCGGAGGAGACTGGAATAGTGGGTAAGTGAAGCTGGTCTGCGCTAGACATGCCGCTTCACTGAACTAGTGGCTGACCGGAGGGACTGGAATAGTGGGTAAGTGAACCTGGTCCGAGCTAGATATACCGCGACACTAAACTAGTAGCTGACTAGAGGGAACTGTATGACGAATCTCAAAACCCCAACTTCTAGGGACTCCTGATGTAACGGTCCCAGGAGTATATTGCAACTAGCTGGTGACGACTCTACGAGTTTGTCTCGAATGGAGAGAGAAGAAGAAAAAGAGTGAAACACTATGCAAGATACCTGCCGTCTTATACCTCCACATCCTTGGCCTGTGCGCCGATATCGAACAAGATAGAAGTCCACCGAATCTCGAGTCTTGGCCGAGAGTTTGCCGAGGCCTTTACGGGCCAAGCCCGTTACAAAGAAAGGCTCCCGGTACACATGCATGGGCATCATTCATCGAGTGCATCTCGGCTAAGGGCAGACATCTGACCCCCCTGGTCATTTTCAAGGGCAAGAGCGTTCAACAACAGTGGTTTCCATTGGATCTAAAGCCTTTCGAGAGCTGGCAGTTTACTGCAACTGAAAAAGGCTGGACTAATAACACTGTAGCTGTTGAATGGCTTGAAAAAATCTTTATCCCACAGACCCAGCCAGAGAATCCTTCGGAGGCCCAGTTGTTGATCCTTGACGGCCACGACAGTCATACCAGTGACGTTTTATGTGGCTATGCTTCAAACATCATATCCATCTCCTCCACCTCCCGCCAAATTATTCACACGTTCTTCAACCGCTTGATTTGGCCGTCTTATCATCCTTGAAGACAGCCTACCGCAAATCCTTGGTAAACCTGGCCCTGTGGAGCGATACTACCATCGTCGGCAAGCGGAGTTTTCTCGAATACTACCGGAAAGCACGTTTGATTGCTTTGGTGGCCAAGAATGTTCTCGCAGGGTGGAAGGCAGCGGGGTTATGGCCGGTCAGCATCTCCAAGCCCTGATGAGCCGGTTGTTGGTCGAAAACACCCACATTCCGACTCCTACGCCCGCAAAAGCTATTTACCTAGACGCCTTATATCCCCTTGCTACCCCAGAACTAGTTGTCTCTAAAGAGCAAGGGCCCCGGACTACTCCAAGAAGAGTGTTGAACTCCGTCAACAGCTGGTCAAATATATTATTATTCCTACACCGCTGTGCCCTTGGGCTTGCCGGACCTTCAACAAACTTACTATACAGGAAAACCGCGCCCTCGTGGGCCGGGTGAAAAACCCATATCGACAATCAAGGAAACGATCAGTGTGCGATCCTGCAAATACAAAGTGGGAAGGCCTCTTGGCCTTCGAATGTAACGGTCCCAGGAGTATATTGCAACTAGCTGGTGACGACTCTACGAGTTTGCCTCGAATGGAGAAAGAAGAAGAAAAGAGAGAACTAGATGACAGGAAGAGAGGGCAGCTCTTATATGCTCCGGAACACACAGACACTGCCTGCTTCAGGATGACGTTATCATGATACCACGGCCGAGGGTTGCCGAGGCCATCATGGGCTCAGCCCATCACATTCGAAGGAAAGGGTATCAGACTGCGAGCTCCAGCTCCAGCCTCCTGGCCAGACCGTACATCGGCAGTTTCCCCGAGTCCATCAGCCAGTCCAGGATCCTCCCCGTTAGCCGTGCAGCTTTGGGACTGATTCCCTGTAGGACAGAATAAAAGTCCCTTCGCGTTCTGATTTCGGCTCTCTCCCATCTTCGAGTCAACGGTGGGGCCAAGCACCACATCACAAGGTGTTCGACAGTCTCTCGCCCCTCTCCACACTCGCATATAGGCGTCAGTACCTCTGGGACTCTCCTTTCGAATAGCTGGTCAAATATAGTCAGCAGACCAAGCCATCTAGGACCCGACGACAGCTCTTCCCAAAAGGTCAACAAAGCCTTTGACCGTATGGACAGCAATATCGCTATGTTGCAAGCTGAAAATGAAGCTCTGCCGGCACAGTTGGAAGCTATGAAGCCCAGGAAAAGGAAGAGGGTCAATACGGACCCAAATTTGGTATCTGCAAACATTGGAGCAATCCGCACGGCGCAGATAGAAGCCGGGGCAGTAGAGACTGAACAAGTTGATACTTCTGAAGATGGGGAATCCAGCGATACCGCTAGTTGTATTGTAGTAGCAGCAAAAAGTAGGAAGAGCGGCATTTGAGATGGTTGTGGTTGATATCCGGATTACACTCTAGGAAATCAGGCTGTCGGAAAGTGGGGGGTGTCGGGACCAGGGGCTTTGACTTAATGTCTGCTGACGGTACCGGGATCAGCTCGAACTCTATGTCGCTTCGCACCTATAACACGCTCCGGATTGGTCAGAGCGCCTCACGCTTCGTTGTTGGTATCAGCTTCGTCCAGTTGTGATGTCCCATTGGGATCGTTACCACCGAACCATCTATCGTCCTCGCATATGGCTCGGAGATGGCCAACACTACATAGTCCTTGAGCCCTTCGTCGTTTAGCAGGCTTTGCTGCACCTCTCTCCGTTTACGGACATTAAGCTGAAGAATCTGAAGCGTTCCGTGTGCCATTATGTAGCCAGCGCACCCGGCAGTTTTTGCTGAACGATTCTTGTGGTCCTCTGCAGAGCACGCACTTCATCACTATAGCTTGACATGTGTTGTGATGGTGCCCCTGTTCGGCGCACCGTCCACAGGTCTGTGGCTTTTTGCATTCAAAGGCCTTGCGGCCTAGTTCTTGATAGTTGAAGCACTGAATTGGACCCTCCCGGGGTGCAAACACAGCTGTGTAAGCCGATTCCCAGCCAGATGGAAGTAGCGTGCATCCAGGAGCCGTCTCGCTTCGCTGCCCTTGGTTACATAGACAACCATCGAGCCATACGCTTTGCCAGCATCCTTCCTGCTGAGCCAGGCGATCTTGGCAATGTTGACTTCGTTTTCTCTTCCCAGTGCTTCCGCCGCTCCAGGGAGGATATTCCCCTCTGCATCAAGGACTGCTGTCCGGTTGGCGTTATCGATCCTCACTGGGTATAACTGGTCCCTCAACACGCGAACTCCTGGCACCGTGATCTTCTGCGCTGCTTCTTTGACAAGGGCAACTTCGCTCTCGTCCCTGCAGATCACTCTGATCCGCTCTGGGTTCCTGGCTTCCTTCACTACTGCTGCGCAGCGCCAAGTTCCCTGGTTCCCGTGTGTCTGGATCTCTGCCTCGATTGCCTTTCTTATGTCTGCCACTTGGACTTTCCCTTTCTCACTTTGCTCCACTCTGGATGTATCAACCGTGCAGAACAGGGTATCCGTGAAGGTCGTCGGCGTTGTGTTCGACAGGGAGATGGTTCGCAGTCCACTCGGTTGGCTTGCTGGTGGCGTGCGAGCAACCTCCGCGTATGACGCCCTTGGGCTCGTCTGAGTTGTATGGGGAGGGGCTGCGTTGCGTACGAGGGCGTCTATCTGGTCTCGGGCTTGTCTCAGCCCCTCGGAGAGCTGCTGAATTGCGTCTTGCTGTTTGCAGGCGCACGAACATACCCAACGGGGGCGATTCAGGGCCCCACCTTCACGTGTACGGGCATCGTGCCAGCTCCTTCCCCAGTTCTCCATGGCAAAACATCATGTTCCAAGTCCCATAATTCTTTCACTTCCTCAGACACTTGCTTTTCATGAAAGGATACACAACCAAAAATAAACCCTGCCAATCACATCAGGCTGCTCTTGGTTTGATGGCCTCTCCTAACCACAGCCCTGTCATATGCGGCGTCATCGGCTTTAAGCTTGGACAAGGGGACGAAGGGTTTATCATTGTTTGGGGGTGCCAAAAGGTCGACAAATTCGCTGCTCTTCCCGGAGCAAGAGGGCTTGTCCCGATACACCCTCGATGCCTTCGAGGGAATCTGGTGGCGTGACCAACCCAAGCGCGGAGCTTGGTTTGCGCTCGTGTATCCTTACAAAGTTTGCTCCAGGAGCAGCTCGACGATGGAAAACATGTCCGATCTTGCGTCAGCTCAGAGGATACTAGCTCTGTGTTGTCGAGAATATCTACGAGAGGCAGCGGCCGATGCTTGGATCTGGGCCCCCGACGGAAATTGCGAGAGGACGTGGACTGTGACTGACTCGGGCTCCACGACGAGATGAATTGCGGTCAGGGCAGATATCAAGTCTGTAGAGTTCTTGGGCCGAAAGGTGATTGATATCGAGGTAACGGTCATACCGGTAGAAAGCCTCCCTCAACGGTCTACCACGGGTGCCGGCTAGTGTCATCCCGTTAAACGATACGGAAGTACTGGGGGTGAGAACGGCGTCTAGTATGGTATGTTGAACTTTGTGGGCTTTGATCGTCATTAGGACCTAACGTTAGATAGTTGCGTCCTTGGGTTGATTTCCACCATTACTACATCTAACGCGCACCTATGAACCAGATGTCCTCCCCTTCCGACGCAGCTTCCGCACTCTGCCCTGGACCTCCTCCTTAACGGACGTTTGCGCCTTAGCTGGAGGGCTCTCCCAAGTCATCGCTGTCTTGTCTCTGAGCGGCGACACAGGGAACGGCGTCCATTCGGAGCCCTGGTTCATGGTTACGCCATCTGGGCAAATCGGCCACTGAAGGAGACTGGGCGGCAAGCATAGATCCGACACACCAGATTCTTGCAACTCGGGCCCGTGAATGGTAAGATCCTCGGCATTGCAAGTACCTGACGGTAGGCGAGATGGAGCCCACACCGTCGGATCGCCGTAGAGCAAGTCCAGGAGCTCCGACCCGCTCACCGTGTTCTTGGCACCGACGTACAAGCATTTGACCTCCATGGATACCTCGGCCGCGCTGAAAGGCACCTGCTGGAAAACGAAAATTTCGTGTTCAGATCCTCGGACTATAAACTTCTAGACAGAGTAGCCGTGGACGTCGTGGAGATGCTCGAGCGTGACGTTCTTGACCCCATATTCCAAGCAGTCCCTCGGGAGCTTATTAGCCTCTTGAATGTGCTGGATCGCATCCGCATCTCGCTCTCAGTACTGCAGTCTTTCCGAAGGTGGGGAGTCACTGGACTGTCGGCATAAGAGACACAATGCAGGTGAGATAAGCGTATTGCGGAACGTGACTACGCCATATCGTCTCGATCGCTGTCGTCCCAGCTCCAATAGGCCAAATCACAACTTGGTAAGCGATATCTTCCATTTTCAAAATGACCAACTATACTGAGGTACAGCTTTACAAGGCTCTTTTGCAGGTCCAAGCTGGCCGATCCGTTCGCCGGGTCGCCAAGGAATGGGCTATTACAGGGAGCACTCTGCAAGACCGTCGTAACGGCCTGCAACCCCGGGCATTTCAGCATCTTCAGAATCATTCTTGTTGCAAGTTGCCAAGACACATAGAGGAGGGCCGCAAATGCGTTTGGTTGGCTAGGGATAAAGATTCGCGACGCGTTGGCGGAACTCACGGTTACAAGGCGAATGTTGGAATCACACCGCGACGTTGATGTGAAAACGGAGCTGAGAAACGGAACTGTAAAATCTGAGCGGGTACGTGCTCTCTACCGTTTATTTCCAGATAGCGTTTTGGCACGTGACCCATGTGTTGCTGAGTCAGCAACTTGAACCCCAAACAAGGAAGTTGATTATTCGGTCCAGATTCGCGTTTCCGCCCTCCTACAAGAGCGACAGCTTTTGGTCTTCGTTGTTGTTCAAAGGGGGCGGTTTTCTGTCTTCAAAGCTACCAGTTTTGGGCGCTTGTGAGCAGCCAGGGAACTTTTATGTGCAAAAAGCTCCGGAACATATTCTGAGACAGAATGAATTTCGAATTCATCGATAACAACGGCACGATTGACAGGGCCTTGAGGAAGCAGATTCGCAGCCATGTGGCCAAGGGACGGAACGCAGGCAAGAAAGTCAACAGGCCCTCGAGGAGAAACTTGCAGCGGCCGAGCAAGACAATCACAACGGAGACACAAAGCACAAGAATCCAGACTGTACTTACTCAACCACAGACACGGCCCAGCACATCGAGCCTCCCTCTGGTAACCCTGCCTTGGTATCCGGGTCACTGGGAACACGATGCCAACGCTGCAAAAGGAAGCGTTCCTCTGATTCTCAGGGGTAAGCCATCACATTTTCGACCTCCAACACTTCATTTGTAACAGCAGGGTCCTGACGGCTTCTTTTCCATCTACCTCTAGCCATTTCTTTCTTCTCCGAAATGCGGCACCCGCGCGAGCTGGACAGCGCGCTCGACTATGTCACTGAGTCTCATACAATATGGGTCCAGCCCATGTTCGTGGATGAAGCCTGTGAGTTCCAAGGGAGTTCTATGATCCGAGAGATATCCACTTTGCTCACCACGCCAAAATGAAGATTTCCATGGAGCCATGGCGGTATTCATGGCCGCTTTCCCCAACCTTCTGGCGCCCACTGTTAGCAGCGTTGATAAGGACAGCTTGACCGCTCGAGTTCGCCACAACTGTCTCGCGCTTCGCATGATCAATTCCCGCCTTTCTGGACGGGACGCCTTCACCGATGAGACCCTGATCGTCGTGCTCGTCTTGGGGCTGTATGAACGCTACCAAGGCGAGTACCACCGCGGTCTGGTGCATCTCAACGGTGTGCAGCGGATACTTGAATTGCGCGGCGGCCTCCGCAGCTTGGTCAAAACAAGACCAGACTTGGCTCGCAAGATCTTTAGGTAAGATGCCACCTGAGTCGCCCATCTCTCTCGTCTATGGTAAATGTGTCTGTTGATTAAACTTCGCCTTGCACAGAGCCGACGTCGAATACTCGCTCACGCTCGGCACGCCGACGCGTTTCACGCCAGACGACGCTGCGCAAATGGCAAGGCAAAACCATTCCTGCATCACCATCACCAATATCGCCCTCTCTGAGTTCAACCCACCCTTCCTCGCTACGCCCGCCGCCCAAACTTTCGACGCCCACAACCGATCCCTCCGCTTCCCAGCTCACACACCCGCCCTCGCCGCCGTCCTCCGCGACGCAACCCATATCGCCCGCCTCTTGCAAGCCGCCTCGACCTCCGGTTCCGGCTGCGCCAAACTCGCCAGCAGCGCCGTACACGACACCTTCATCCTGCTGGGCTTCCGGCTGCAGGCGCTGTCGCCGCTGGTCGCTCGCCCCAGCCTAGCGGCCAGCTTCACTGCAGGTACCCTCGCAATGCCGTGCAAAGAGGGCGGCAGCCTCGAGGAGCGAGCGGCGAGTGTCGGCTTAGTGGCGTTCGTGGCGAGTTTCCTGTGGGGAGGGGGCTGTGGGAGGCTTACCAGCGGGCCGCTGCGGTGGGTGGAGGAGGCTGCGAGGGACGTGATTACTTCTTGTCTGCCCCTCAGCAGGAATGGGATGGATGATGAGAGTGTGGCTTTGGGGGAGCTGTTGCTGTGGATGTTGTTCGTCGGAGTTTCTTCCGGTGTGTTTGAGGTTAGGTATGCTAGCGGCGGGTGGGTGGCTGTCAAGACGGGTGAGGTGATGCGTTCCCTGGGCTTGGTGGATGCTGACTGGGAGAGTGTGACAAGCGTGTTGGAGAGGTTTCCATGGATTGACGCGCTGCATGGAAGGAAGGGGCGGGTGCATTGGGAGAGGAGCAAGGTACTATTCTGAGCTAGATACTGACAAAAATAGATAACTATTTCAATAAGCCAAATACTCTGGGACTTGCCCATCGAATGCGAGACTCAAGCACAGTCCAACATCCTTGCCACGCAACCAGGCTCTGCAGTCTCCAATTCGTTGGCAATGGCCTCCCAGGTGCGTTTCTGCATCGTTGTGTCGTCCTTCACCCAGTCGGGAACATCTGGCCTGTGGCTCTGTCAGCTCACGCTCACTACCAGCTCAGGTCATCAACCTGGAAGTGTTGAGCCGACTTACTCCCCGTCCTCGCAAGAGTGAAGCAGCTTCCCATGGCTTTCGGGACCAGCCACAGCCCCATGGAGCAACGTGCGGCTACCGTCCTCGGCAGTTCGCCCTACCGCGGCATACATTTGATGCATCATGTCCTTGAAGTCCTGCGGGGTACTTCTGACAAGGTTGGTGATGCACAACCCGGGGCAAATGAGGTTCACGATGACACCCGTCTTTTCGACCGGCACCAGTTCGCGAGCGAGGTGGCGGATAGCAAACGCCTCCATGAGCTTGGTGAGGGCGTACCTATTCAAATGGCCGAACGTTAGCCACACACCTCACTGCAAACAACAATATCTCACTCAAGGGAGCGACCTCACGTTTTGAGAGGCGCCATTCCCTCGTCATCCATGCCCTTGATCGGATCCTCCTTGATCCCCTCCCAGTCGGCCTTGCAAGTGGCCTCGAACCCATACGTACTGCCGACCACCACAATCCTCGGCACCACGCCCTCCACCTTCTTCGCCTTCTCCCTCATCACGGGCAGCAAGAGCACGGCCATGAGAAACGTGCTGAGCACATTCACTGTCAGAGGCTTCACATGGCCCTCGGCCATCTCCCTCACCGACAGCGTCAGCCCGGCATTCTCGATGACCGCGTCGATCCTATCCAGCTCGTCGGCCGCGCGCTTGACAAAGGCCCGCACGCTGTCGTAGCTGCACAAGTCAACTTGCCAAACCTGGATGACGTCCGTCCCCGCCGTACCGGCCGACTCGTCGATGTCGCGCTTGGCGGCCTCGCCGGCAACAAGGTTACGCACGCCGAGGATGACTTTTCCGGCGCCGAGCGAGGCCAGGTGCCGGGCGGCTTCGAGGCCGATGCCCGAATTGGCGCCCGTCACGATGTACGTGCGCCCGGAGCAGGTCTCGGGCGTGGCTAGCAGGGGGAGGTTGCGGCGTTGGGAGACCATGGTTGCTGGACAGGAGTAAGGTAGGCTGCTCGTTGACTGGTGATGTGTGGTTGGTGCGGCCTAATGGGAATGCTCAAGCGGTTCGTCTTTGCTCGCTGATAGACTCTGTGTGTGGGTGTTGAGGGATTGGGAGCGACAAGCCGGCTCTTCCTTTTATACATCTTCCTGGGTTGCTGCGATACTGAAGGTACACGGCGACGTTCCAGATCTGTTGCTGACGAATCTAGGTATTCATGATAGTGTCTCATATCCGGAGATGGCAACTCGTCCTATGTCCGCAACGGAAGCTTCCAGTCTCCTTCCTTCTTTCTCGTCAATGACCTAGTCCGTAGGTGTTTGATGTTTAACTTGTTCGCTAGTCTCAACAGCCAATGGGAGAGTGGTTTCCTGGAATGGAAAAGGGGAACTGGGATGTAGTATCTTAGGTTAGTGCTGAAATGGGCGTCCGGATATGGGGCTACGAACAATGCAATAACAGCTGACAAACCCAGTTGGAGTCGGGCTGCTCCAATGCTCCACAATTCCAGTATGAATCCACAGCCTGGTCAACAGCTCGGGCTGAAATCTGAATGAACCAACCAGAGAGCAGTTGCCTGATCGGGACATAGCAGGGGGTGTACACCAAACCTGTCCTGATCATGACATCGATTAGGATGGGCGACTCGGGCCCACCGTCAGGTCTCGCAGTTTGCGGACTCAATCATGGTACCATTGCGTGCATGTAACGGCATCCAAAGACCAAGCTGGGCTTGTCCCTATAGACTCTACTCAACCCGTTCTCAATCCGCCCGTCAACAATTGCATGATGAAGGCTCTGAAGCGTGTTGATGGATTCTCTATCTGGAAAACAAGCCCCATGAGGCAGGCCAAGCTTGACAGAGGTTTTCTTGACCGGTGGCTTGACAATCAAGAAGCCTGAGCTCAGTTGGGCCAAGTCACCAAGATCCCAATCTCGAGCCTCCTTCCAGTCGCCGATTGGTAATCGTCCAGAGCCGGGGGACCGCGCGGGTGAGCGATGGGAGATGAGCCGTTCCCACAATTGATGGTCTTTCTATACCCTGCCCCCCGTCGTGCGGTCTACTTGGTCAGCTAACATTGGGCTTCTTCCATCCCGGCCGGCGGACCCTCGCCGAAGCAACACAGAACATGAAAGTACCGAGCAACGCAAAGACGCCGGCGAAGATTTTGACCCCCAGCCACCCGCTGTCCTCCCCGTTCAAGATGGCTCCACTGATTGGGTTGGTCGTCAGCCCGCCGATGGACGCCATGAAGAGAACAATCCCCGTCCGGAACCCAATCTCCGACATGGGCGAGATCTGTGCCATGACGGGCGACAGGAGCGATGCATATCCGCCCGAGAAGCAGCCAAAGAGGACTGCAAACGCGACCATGGCCGCGTCGCTCGCGGCCGGGATCCAGAGGGCCAGGATCCAGACGCCAGTGAGGAAGCAAGTTCCAGTGAAGGCGTTGAAGCACCCGACTCGGTCTCCGATGTAGCCTCCTGCAAGACGCCCCGCCAAAGACCCGGCGTTGAAGATGGGCACCAGGTCCTGGGACAGGCCGCGAGCCATGCCGGCGTGGAGGGCCGAGGCAGGCAGGAAGTCGATGGGCACGAAGATGCCATACGTCAGACAGAGAAACCCAAATGCAACCAGAACAAATTCGGTTTCGGTGAATGGCTTCAGGTATGCGGACCTGGAGGGAGTCGGCCGTTGCGCGGAGGAGTCGTAGGTCCGGACGGTGAGGTTGGCGACGGCCAAAAGAACCAGAATGGAAAAAGCAGAGATCCGCATGGACCAGGCAAATCCGAGGTCGTGAATGAGACGGGTGAGCATGACGGGTAGGATGATACCACCAACGCTGGCCCCCGTCATGACAATGCCGAACGCAGTGCTTCGTTTGGTGCTGAACCATCCATGAACACAATTCAGGGCTGAGGCCTGTGAGCGGCTACAACGAATCATGGGGCACGTCGGGGTATGTTACACACCTGGTTGAAAGATCATGGAGACGCCGAGAGCCGAACAAAAGCCCTGGGCAAGAAGGATATGGTAATATTGGGTGCCAAGGCTCGCCATCATGAGGCCCAAGACATGGAGCACGCTTCCGAGGAAAACCAGCCATCTTTGGCCGAACTTATCGTATAGTGCACCAACTATGGGTCCCTAGGGTGAGGCCCAGGTTAGCGCGAGACTGACCATGGGATGGGAGAGGTGGCGCATACCATGCCGTACAAGAAGAACACCTGCAGTGAAGGTATCCACGCAATGGTGCTTGGATCATAGTCGCTGAACATCTCTGTCTGATAATGTTCTTGGAAGACACCAATGCCTGTCAATATCCTGTTGTAAGTAAGGTACCTTTGCGGAACGATGTGGCAGTGGGCGAAATCAGCCTCCACTCACTGTTGACCCATCCAGCGGTACAGAACAGAGCACACCATGCCCCCAAAACCACCAGCCAGGCGGCCGCCCCGCCGTCAGGGGCTTGGCCAACCGGAGTTGCGTCTGGGGCGCTTCGCTCTGATGGTGGTTCATTGCTGGGCAGCCGAGCACGGCTTGTCCCATCCGAGTCCTCTGTCACGGTCTGGTCCCATTCGGGCCCGAGCTTCGCATCACCGTTTGCTAGCGGCGTGGCGTTGGGCGAGCAAGTGCTGCGAATCATTCTCTACAATCCAACCCTGGTTTGTTCGTTAGCTTGGCACATGGCGGAGCACTTGGAATATAAAGACAGAATATAAGAGGAGGAGAATGAGAGAGATAAAGGTGAAGACGAGAACGAAGGGGATGATGAAACAAAGAGGAAGATGAAAGAAAGGAAGGAAGGAAGGAAGGAAGGAAGGAAGGAGGGAGGGAAGTAAGGGAAGAAAAAAAGTAACAATATAAGGTCAAAGTGAAGGAAGATGAGGTGTAATACCTATCACGGAAGTTTCACGCTAACAAACAAACTACCGTTGTATTGTAATAGAATTCCAATCTCATTTGAGAGTCACAATCGAGGTAAATTATGCGAACGAGGCGGAAGGGCTGAAGCCACCGAGGACTCGGGAGTGAAGACAAGATGATGTCGAATAAGGCTCTCCATTGCGGACATGATGGGAATAAATGTTGCCGTTCGCAATAATGTAAGGTCTATAGGGGCATTTCGCCCGGCGCCAAACTCCATATTAGATATCGTGCGCTGCCTCGTGCTCTCATTGTCGCGTACTCTCATCACCGACATGGCGTGTTTGTCTCCAGAGTTGTTATCCGTGGCGAGAAGAAAGGGGGCCCATGGACCAATGGGAGCATGCCGCCCTCGGCGCCGCTGCGGCATTTTATCGCCGAGGTTAGCCATCATTGGCTGATTCTCGCCGAGGCCTCGGCTTCGGCCTTTTTGAAAGACCGCGCCGCGCTCCAGGAAAGGGACTTCGACCCTTCCCAATCTGTCCCCTCATTCTCGGAAATCAGAGACGCCAACCACGAGGGAGAAGGTCGTATTTTTATATTCGTTCTCAATTCTGTCAGTAACATTATGGGTGCCAACCGTCCTGATACCGTTGCGGCGGCCGAGGCCACCGAGCGGTCCGACCCGCTGGACAACCCTACTCCACGCTCGTGTTACAACTGTCACCGGCGCAAGGTTCGCTGTGACAAGGGCCAGCCGTGCGTTCGCTGTGCCCGTAGCGGCAAGCTATGCACCTATCCGCCAATTGGGCAGCGGATTCAGCGCCCTAGAAAGACGACCATGGCCTGGGTAGCAAACTGTCTCTATACCCTGGAGAAGCGCCTCCCAGTACCATCGGCATCACTCCTTGAACCCACACCGGCAGCTGGGGCCCCTTCGTCCAACCCCCCTCAGCCACCTGCTGGGCGTCCAACGACGACCGCAGCCACACCGGGGGAGGCTGAGCACTACTTTGGAGACGAGATTCTGGTCCAAAAGGGCTCGCACAGCGAGTACTTCAACGAGCCGCTCCACTCTAGGATGATTGAGCAGCAAAAGGACATCCAAAACGTCTTGACCACCCCACCGGCCAGTGAACAGGAACTCCTGTCCCGTTTTTCCATTTACAACCCAATGGGGATACTATCTGCGGCGTCCTCGCAGCCATGCTCCAGCTACTTCCCGCACAAGCAGACGGCCCTGAGGCTCTGGAACACGTATCTCGAGAGGATTGAGGCATGCTCCGGCATCAAGATCCTGCACGTCCCCACAGAGGAGGTCAGGATATGTGCTACCATTGAGAATCCGGCGGGGGCTCAGCCAGAGGACTTGGCCATGTGCTACTCCGTCTTCTTTGCCGCCATGGCCGTCCTCCAGCCGACCGAAGCCCAGGCGCTGCTGCAGCAAGACGATCCCTTCACAGTGCAGTTCCGATGCAAAACCGGTTTCGAGCAGGCCTTGGCCGAAGCGGAGGTGCTGGATAAGCCCACTTTCCCGATGCTCTGCGCCTTGACTCTCTACCTGTCGGCGCTCCAGCTCCACAGCCGCGGCAAGGGCATCTGGATTCTCAACGGCATGGCCCTCCGTATCGCACAGGCATTGGGCCTCCACCGTGACGGCGAACGGCTCGGCCTGCCCCCGTTCCAGGCCGAACTCCGCCGGCGAGTCTGGTGGCACATCATCAGCCGCGACGGCCGCGCAGCCGAGGACTTCGGCCTCCAGGGATTCTGCTCCCGGCGTTCCGACGCCCGCCTGCCTCTCCCGATCGACGACACCGACCTCCGCCCCGACATGCCCGCCCTCCCGCCTCCCCGCTCCGGCGTCTTCACGGCCATGACACTGCCCCTCGCCAACTTCGAAATCACGCGCGCCGTGCGCCGGCTGGGCAGCATCGCCGCCGCCGCAACACCCACATCTCCGCCGGACGAGTCCGTCCGAGTGCAAATCATCCAGGAGGCGAGGCAGCGCGTCGACGAACTCCTCGCCGGCTGCAACCCCGTCATCCCCCGCCACCGGCTGGCGCTGCTGACCTCGCGCCTAGCGATGCAAAATGCCGACCTCGTGTCCCGGCAGCAGTGGCTGGCGCTGAAATACCGCAAGCATAGCGACGATGGTAACAGCTCGCGCGACATGATGCCGACGGAGAGGGACCTGGTCGAGGCGCTTGACGTGCTGGACCTGGCGCTGCAGATATGGGGCGACGAGATGCTGAGGCCGTACTCGTGGCTGTGGCGGACGAATCCAGAGTACCACGTCGTCATGTACCTGCTCTGGCATCTCTGCGTGCAGCCCGAGGGGCCCAACGTGGAACGGGCGTGGGTAACGGTGGATCGGTGGTTTACCGAGAACAAGGAGATGGGAGACGGGCAGGGACACAAGGGAGCCATCCTGGCTGCGTTGAGGCGCAAAGCTGAGGTGATGCGGGATGCGAAAACCAAGGCTGCCGGACGCGAAGGGGGTAGCGGTGGTAATGGAGTTGGTCAAGATCCCAATGCTCCTGTGGCACACCGTCAGGGGCAACTTGCCGAAGCGGTTGGCACGCCGTGGGGCCCGGGGGTCTTGGGGGGTATGTCTGTGGGCGGGGACAACGAGTGGAATGGCGATCTCAACGAGGTGCCAGACTGGGGAGCCTTTATCCAGGCTTTCCAGTTGGACGGCCAAGAATTTTCAGGCATGGGATGGTACAACTGAGGGCGATCTATAACCTACTGACCTACCTCGGACAACTCTGATTAGATAAACTCTTCTGTATTTTGTGGTCTTCTAATTGGTCTTTGTTAGTGACACTGACACCGTGACACAGGACAGGAGTTGGGAACGCCAACACCGATCAGTTGATCCTGACTTGATTATCGGCCAGACTCCTTTGATTCTCTTGCGTTACTCTGGCCATCATGGTTTGCCGAATCTGCGTCACGAGCAGAGTTGCATTCATACAGACTCAACCGGCATGACTGGCACCCGTCAGTTGATCAGGCCGAAGAACTTCAGCAACTGCGCCTCGTTGACCGACGGCGTATGGCCGACACCCTGCCCAAAAAATCCCTGCAGCTTGGTGCCGTCTCCATACACCTGCTGCGTCCACCCCGCCGAGGGGACGCCCGTCACGTTCCGACTGAACTCGACGCCCAACACGTTAGACCACTGCTTGAGAGCCTCAAAGGCACACTGCGGTCGCACGAGGGTATCGGCCAGCCCGTGGGTGATCTGCATCCGCGGCCGGCGGCCAGTGTACCCTGGGAACGAGTTTCGGACGAGATTTCCCCACTCCTGCGCCGGCTTCTGCAAGCCCTGGGCACAGGTCTGGTTCGGACTGAACGGCGTAGCAGAGGGGGCACCTGATTCGGAAAGTGTCCAGTCAGCCAACAATTCTGGAGGGGTTGACAAACCTAATTCACAGTCGCCGCCATAGCAACACTCCCGGGCGACGATCCCGTTTCAACTTGAAAGTAGAAGGTACGCACCGAGAAAACAAGCATGCGGCACGCCCGAGTAGGCAGCACCGGCCTCGAACACGTCCGGATACGAACCGGCCAGGACATTGGTCATCATGCCGCCGGACGAGAAGCCCATGACGTAGACACGCGCGCGGTCGGCGGCGTACCGGTCGATGGTGTAGTTGACCATGCTGACGATGCCGAGCGCGTCGCCGCCCTGGCCGTGCGTCAGGCTGGCCGGGTTCTGCACGTCCCAGCAGTTGCTCTGGTTGGGCGTGCTCGGGTAGATGAGGATGAAGCCGTTGGAGTCGGCGTATGACGGCAGCCTGGTGCCGCTGAACCATTGTTGTCCGGTGCCGCCGCAGCCGTGGAGCTTGGGAGATGAGTCTTGTCAGCGAGGGCTGCGCTAAGGTAGGGTTCAAGATAGAGGAGGAAGACTTACCGCCACGATGATGGCTGGATTGGTGGCCACCCTGTCGGGGACATAGATGAACATCTGGATGTTCGTCGGATTGCGTCCAAAATTGCTGACTTGCTGCAGCGAGGCGCCGAGGCACGTCGCCGCCGTGGCAACGAACCCGAGGATGGTCTGAAGGAACATGATGGGTTGGGTGGCTTCAGAGGTAACAATAGGCAAGCAAGTTCACGACGAGTTTTATGTCTCATATGGTACTCCTTTGACAGTCCGGGCTGGAACCGTCCATGTTTTATAGCAAACCCATCGCTGCGGTAACAGCTGGATGGCAATGGCAGTCGGCAAGTTCAAACAGCCCAAGCGTGCCAGAATCCGGAGTTGTTGAGGAGAATTTCCCTTTTTGGTGCCCGTTGCTCCGCATGATGCGCGACGAGGCGGGTAAAACAGACGATGCTACACTGAATGCGTGTGTGCTGGGCAACCGACATAGAAGCCGAGGTATATTGCACAGAAGGTTATATGAATGCCGTCAGGGGCACGTGGGGAAACCTTGCAAGCCGGCAGCCAGACTCGGCAGCCAGCTTTGGTGTAAGTAAGGTTACCTCGATGCTTGCTGTTTCACGGCGGTCATGCAGGCAATAGCACCATCTTGTCGTGCATACTTTGTTAACATCCAAGGAGAAAGATTTTCGCATTTATTCAACGGCCAAGGTATTTCAGCCAATTTGAACAGATTCCCTCAGGATCAATTTCGAACAAGGGCTGCCAGTGTGGACTCATGACTTGGCGAGATGAGGAAGGGAACTTAACAAATTGGAGAAGTCAACGTAACTAAAAATTCCAGTTGACACTGAGAACTCGAAAGACTTTGGTTCAGGTTATTGGGCAGCTGGTTGTCAGTCCCCCAACATGAATGATCTTATTACCAGGACAAAGCCTTTCGCCATCACACGAAAGTTTTCTCAGCTCAATGGCCCCGGCCCTGAACGTGTGATTCAGTTGTTTCGGGTTGCGGATTGCGGTCTGAAAACACTGAGAGTAGTTAAGCACTTCAGTACTTGGGAAATCCGCCTGGTTAACTTATTGAAAGTAGATCAGTACCCCAGGAACCTTGAATTGTATCACGCCGCTGTCATCAGTCCAGTTGGTTTAGTTCCGGAAGCTTTCCACTCCGAATAGACGGCATCATTGGACCCAGGTTCAAAACATCACATTACGAACTACTTAACCAGAGCAAATAATAGACTACATATTCACAACTCCTTGGCTCGAGACTTGGCATGTCCCAGCCAGTATTCCCTTGAACTCTTCCTCCCTTCCATCTCAACCTTCACTCGGAGGTAGGCAAAGCCAACCCGCTCGAGTGGCACCAGACTGATACACAACGCGGTTTTCCAGGTTGTAGCTGCTTAACACCCAAACCTCACTCCCAGCCCCGTCCCAAGCTCATTCCCTTGCAAGAACCCCACACTCTGCTGACTATCACTGGAACCGTCCGCGACAGCCTCTAACCGGAACCCGACCTCCTCGGCGCGACACGCAAACGTGTACAGCGTCGACACCACGGCGCCGGCCTCGAAACGCGCCGCGCCGACCATTAACCCCGCCGCGGGCCCGTCAAGCGCGTAGATGTAGACCATGGCCGCGCCCGTGACTTTGGCAGAGGGGTTGGACAGGTCGAGGAAGAGGATGCACTCGGTTTGGGTGTCGCGGCGGGATTTCGTCGTGCCGCCGCCGCCGCCGCCGGGCCCGTTGCTGCCCCCATTGCTGTTGCCGCGGTGACTACCATCGCCATCTTCAAAGTAGTCAGAAGAGTCGTCAGAGTTGTCTACAAACTCGTCAAACTCGTCAGAGGGGCCGAACAGACCTGTGTGTACTGCGGCGGGAGGCCTAGTACTTGAGCTCGAGGAAGCGACAGAGCCGGAGCTAGCCTCGCTAGCCTCACTAGAGTAGGTGGATGACGCGGTGGTGGGGGACCACCGGTTACCCGAGCTTGATGATGTGACGGTGGACCAGGTACTAGAAGAGGTTGATGTGGTTGGACTGCTGCTGGACGTTGACGATGCGGTGGACCAAGTGCCGGAAGTGGTTGATGTTGTGAAACTACCGCCGGAGGTTGATGATGCGGTGGACCCTGACCAGGTGTCGGAAGTGGTTGATATTATGTCACTACTGCTGGAGACTGATGATGCACTAGACCCCGGCCAGGTGCTAGAAGTGGTGGATGTCGGGTTGCTGCTCGAGGTTGACGATGCGCTAGACCAGGTGCCGGCGGTGGTTGATGTTGTGAAGCTGCTGCCGGAGGTTGGTGATGCGGTAGACCCTGACCAGGTGCTGGAAATGGCTGATGTTGTGATTGTGGAGCCGCCGCTGGAGGTCGACGATGCGGTGGACCAGGTACTGGAAGTGGTTGATGCGATGGAGCCGGTGCCAGAGGTTGGTGATGCGGTCGACCCCAACCAGGTGGTGCTGGAAGCGGTTGATGCTGTAGACTGTGGGCTGATGGCGCTGGAAGTGGTTGATGCTGTAGACTGTGTGCTGATGGTGTTGGAAGCGGTTGATGCTGTAGACTGTGTGCTGAAGGTGGATGACACGAATGTGCCGCTGCTGGAGGTTGGTGAGGCGGTGGAGGTGTTGGAGGTGGCTGATCCGGCAGAGCGGGTGCTGGAGCTGGACGATCCGAGGGAGCGAGTACTCGAGACGGACGATCCGGCGGTGGTTGTTGTGGACGAAGAGGGCCCGGTGGCGTTATTGGGGAGGGCAAAGACTAGTTCGACGGTTGATTCCGTGAATGAAGAGTCCGAGCTGCCGGTGGTGTTGGAAGGGGTTAGGGTAAGTTGGATCGGGTAGGGTGGCTTAGTATTGGGTGGGTTGGAGCGTGGGGTTGGCCACGCAATGGGGCAGTCTATTGATGCCCGCTTTGGGAGGCCATGTTGGCGTCTGTCGGGGAAGGCGAGGGCGTGCGGATGGTTGGTGGGGCTGGTAGACGCGGGACTGGTGAGGAAGAGAAGAGTTACGGTTAGGAGGGTCGACAGCGCCATCTGGAGGTTGTCAGCAGAGGGTGACGCTGATGGGAGTAGGCCGCTTACCCCGGTTCCCCTTTGTCTTCCGAGCGAAAAGAAACTGAGATGTGGGTAAGGCATGACCAGCCGAAATCATAGACGAGCCGACGGGCTTTTTATGTGGTCGAGAGTTGTGCACAGGCCTGATTGAGCATCGGAGGCCGAACTGTTGGGCTCGAGGGTGTCAACAGTCATGGACGGAAGCTAGCTTGGTCCTCCTGACTTACGTTCAGTATGACATCGACAACTGATTTGAGGCGCGTCTTGCCGGTCGTGCTCAGATCGATACGAGGCGCACAGTCTATTTATTGGCTCTTCGTATGACCTAGAAGACATACCCGGAGACTGTTTCACCTGCCTGGGTCGAGCTCGCCCCGTCTGAGATTTATATGTTCCACCGATATGTGAGTCTCGCTCCGATAATCAAAGTAAAGCCATGTCTACTAAGTTGATGCCATGATCTCACTTGTCCATGCGGCCTGGGCATTCGGTGTACAGCCGGGCCGTAGGATTCCGCCTCAAACCATCCATGGAGGCAGAAGTCCGAGTGGGTACCTATGTTGATGTCTGAGCACGGAATCGATGATGCACTTGGAGTCGCGCTTGTCGCTTCGGGCACCTCTGGAGGCATTTAAGTCGGGATGGCGGAGACGGCCTTGCACAGCAGAGCTGAATCCTCAGCTGGTACGGCATATCCCCGTGAGGCACTCTATGTTGGTTGCCGTCGCAACAATATACGGCCTGGGAGGAAGAATCTGTGAGTATCTCTGAATTTCAACTCAGCTTCCTAAGCTATTCAACAGTACTATGATCAGAGATCCAGATAAAGTACAAATGACAAGCCTGAGAAGGCATCATTGAGTTAGATGGGCCATCCACACGGCAAGGCTCCACTCACTTTGGAGTCTTGCACCCGCCCATGCAATGATTTCATTGATGAAACGAGTTGCAACAGCGACGGCAGTGGCACCATCTAACGTGAACCGGACATGGGTAGATGGAAGGGATCTCGGGGGTTGTGCTCTTCCAACCGTGCTTTTGTCTAGATAGCCCGTGCCCCCGTAATGAAATACCGTATAGTTTCATCCGGTTCATAACCTCCACAGGGTGGCCTACACATCCTATCGCAGACAAAACAGCCCGGTAGCTCTGTGCGCGCCGCAGACGGAGCTCAGAAAACTGGAGCTGGAACGTTTGGCGGATCGGGCAAAGGAATTGTGTGCATCGGGCGAGTGCATACGGTAAAGTATCCAATTTCCTTCATATGGCGCCCAGCCCACTCGTGGGCCTGCTGAGGCTGGCCTTGCGCACACCAAGATATGAGATTTTGATAGGTCGGCCCATGACAGTGGTTGATCAACATCTGAGATGTTGATGCTCGTGGGAGAAGTGACGCGGGAATGCCAGCATCTCAGCTGGCGAAGCCTGAGCGATTCGCCCCGCCGCCCGCAAGAACAGTTGAGTCTGACCCGGCCCCACTTAAAAGTGGCCGATAAGATAGCAAGCATTGCAAGAAGTCAAAAAACTCCAACCAGACGGAGCTAACAGACAACAATCTGAGGACAACAACTACACCTCAGCGCTCGGTACGTAATGAAGAGAAAGGTCGCCGCTCTCGAAAAGGTTGAGGCCGACTTGGTCAACCTGCAGTACAAGATCAGGAGAGATCCTAGGTGTGTTTCTGCCCAATCCCTCCTCCCGTCGCAGGTGCGAATTCGTCGCTAACTGAAGCGTAGATCGTACGCCCAGGAATTCTACGACCAGTGGCTCGCATACGATGCGCAGCGCCAGATCTTTATTTCGTCGCCTGCGACTGTCTCGAGCGAAGATACCAAGAAGTTTCACGACCTCGTCGACCTAGTAGCCCACGTCGCCGACCTCTACCCCGACCTCACCGCTCCATTTCCCGGTCATTTGAAGGAGCTCCTGAACCAGCACCATGCGACCCTTGACAAGGAACTGCGGGAAAAAGCGGTGGGCAGCCTTGTACTGCTGCGGAGGAAGGATGTTATCGACTCGACCAGCCTATTGACCACCCTCTTCCCGATCCTAATCTCGACGCCAAGCAAGACGCTGCGATCCCTACTGTACACCAAAATTATCAGTGACTTGAGGGAATCAAACTCTAAGGCGACGAACCATCGCCTTAACCGCACCATCCAAACAGTGCTGCACAATCTCGTTACCTCGGACCGCACCTCAACAAAGGGCATGTGGGCTACTCGGATTACCCGCGAGCTGTGGCGCCGCCAGATATGGACCGACGCGAGGCCGTGCGATGTCATGAAGGAGGCATGTCTCAGTGATAATGAAAAAGTGGTCATCGGTGGCGTGCGCTTCTTTCTGGGCGGAGACAAGGAGCGGGAAGAGGCCGAAGACGAGTCGAGCGACGAGGACATTGATTTGAAGAAGGTCAAGCACCAGAGTACCATCAACAAGAAGACGAAAAAGCGCCAAAAGGCATACGAGAAGGCCATTGAAAAGATCAAGAGGTAGGCAGCCACAATCCACCGTCCGTGGCTGTTGCTGACCGGTATTAGGCAAGAACGCAAGAAGCACGCCGCCCATCCCCTGAACTTCTCAGCGCTGCACCTCATCCACGATCCCCAGGGGTTCGCCGAGAAGCTATTCCAAAAACACCTTCAAAATACCAAGAACAAGTTCACTCTCGACAATAAGCTCCTCATCCTGCAGCTAGTGACCCGTCTCGTCGGCTTGCACAAGCTCACCATCATCTCCCTCTACTCGTGGTTCGTGCGGTACCTCACGCCTAAGCAGCTCAACGTCACGTCATTCCTCGCCTCGTTGGCCCAGGCAACACACAACCTGGTACCGCCAGATGTCATTGAACCGCTGGTTGTCAAGATCGCCAACGAGTTCGTCTCGGAAGCATCAGCATCCGAAGTGGCAGCGGCAGGCATCAATGCCATCCGGGAGGTTGCCCTCCGACAGCCGCTCTGCATGACAGAGACCCTGCTTCAGGATCTCGTCATGTACCAAAGGAGCAAAGACAAGGGCGTGGTCATGGCGGCAAAGGGCCTGCAGTCTCTCTACCGTGAGGTCTACCCCGAGCTGCTGCAGAAGAAGTACCGCGGCAAGGAGGCTACCATGGGCCTGCGGTCAGGTGAGGTCAAGCAGCGGAGGTTTGGAGAGGAAGAAGAAGGTGGCATCGAAGGCATCGAGCTGCTTGAGAAGTACAAGGAGGAGCAGAAGAGACGGAAGCGGGAGGAACAGGGCTTAGAAGACGGGGATGCCGAGAAGAAAGAAGACGACTCCGAAGACGATGGCTTCAACTCGGATGAGTGGGAGGTTGCGTCGACCGACAGCGAGTCATCCGGCGGTTGGATCGACGTCAGCAGCGAGTCGGAAGACGACGAACCGGCCACGAAGCGTCGCAAAAAAGGAGACTCCTCCGAAGCCCCCAATCTCGTCGACACCGCCAAACAGGACGCCGCAGAAGCCGAGTACAACAGGATATCCAAGCTCGCGACGACCTCGATTCTCACGCCCGCCGATCTCGCGAAGCTCGAAGAGCTCCGGCGCGAGGCCAAGATCGACAAGGCGCTCGGGCGGACCTCGAAGCGCAAGAAGGAGCTCATCGAGAAGCACATCGAGGACGGGCTTACGGCCGAGGACATTGAGTTGCCGGCACAACTGGGCAAGAAGACCACCAAGGAGGAGCGGGTGGCGCTGGCGCGTGAGGGTAAGCCCGCTCGCGAGGAGCACAAGTCGACGCAGGCCATCCGCAAGGCCAAGAAGGAGGCCGAGGGCAAGAGCACCACCAACAAGGAGAAGGCACGCAAGAAGAACTTCTTGATGACGATCGGCAAGGCGAGGGCCAAGAATAAGCGGAGTTTGGTCGAAACGAGCAAGACGATGAGGCGCCATATTGCAAGGAGTAAGAGTGGTGGGCGGAGAAGAAATGGGTTGTAGATTTTGCATGTGTGGTCATGTCCAAGGTACCTGATACAGTATTCGTATTTTGCGGCTTACATTTTTGTACTGGATTGGTTCGCGTTGTGTTGTATTAGGCGGAGGCATTCTAGGTGACAAAGACTGTTGCAGTCATGAGCCAGTGGAGGATATGATCGGTTGAAAGGTCCAAAGCTCGATCACTCTGGGTTAGCTTTGCATATGGTGCTTGTCGAGCTGAATCCGGTCAAGGTGAAGGAATTGTTAAAGAGGCATGATACCGCTTACGCACCAATCACCGGAGATAGTCCTGTGGTCTAGCGGTTAAGATTTCGCTCTTATACCCCTCGCGAGGGTCATGGGTATGCGACGGTCGTGGGTTCAATCCCCACCAGGACTACTCATTTTTGTGATTGGCCTGTTGGCGCTCATTCATCACAATCTTCAATTGGGAGAAGCGTTTTATTCATTAGATGGTGTTTGGTCGCCGTTTGCACTGGGATGGCGAGAATGGGTACTTGGGGAATCATGACACTCAGTCTGTACTATTTGGGAAGCACCTGTACCCAATTGGATTGCCTTACCTCAGCCTCTTTGAGGAAAGGTGCTTTTGAACTTTCCGTACGTTGCCTTACGGCTACTCAGCTGGGTGCTGCGCCACACCGCCACACCAATACCTACACAGCCACTTTCCCCCCATTTTTCTCTCCTTCCCCGCGCTTCGATGAGGTGATTTATAAGACGACCAGCTCCGCTAGGATGGCTTGCTTCTGGCAAGAAGAGCCCAGCAGGTGAGAATTCGAACTGACATTTCAATCCATATCGGATTTGGTAACAAGGACATTGCAATTGCGCTGAGGGTTGGGATGTGAGCGGAATGTGGGCAAGGACGGCTTGTTCCGCACACTACATGGGCAAATGGAGCTTCCGGTGATATACGTGTATTCTGATGCAGCTCGGGGCGAGCAAGGCGCTGGCGCGGAGGTTGTGAAACCAATGGGGCGTTCAATCCCCAGGTTCCTCAGCTTCGTGAAACGCTCTTTAAGGTACGTATCAACATGATTCCTGTCACTACCAGACTCGTCAACCCGGCCGTGGCCGTAGTGCAACTGTTCCAAGTGGGCGTGACTTTGCTTCCTTTTACCCTTCTCGGTTTTGAAGTTGCCTTCGGTGTATTCGAGACATCACCTTACCAGATCTGAAGCCGAAAAGCTTGATACAATATATCCCTTAGGTGTACGAGTGAGCAAGATGTTCTCCCTGTGCCCCGTCGTGAACCCACTCCCAAGTGCCGGCTTGATCTCCGAGGCCAAGCCGAAGCGTGGAGTGGAGGAGCAGCGCCTATCTTGAAACAACCTCGCAAGCTTCTGGAACGCTTTTATTCTGGCGCCCCGTACGGAGCTCGCGCAAAAGCGATCGGCAAACTCCATCAAAGAGTATCCAAAAAGCTAGGGCTGCAGCAGACAAAATACAAAATCGTGAGCTTAAGATCGCTGTGGACAGGTATTAGGCGGGCTCACAACAAGCCGACCGAGGCGGGCAATGCCGACGTCCAAGTTATGGTGGCTGACTCGGCAGTTCATCAATCGCGCGATCTTTACGGATTAAACAGTCATGAGATCTCTTTCCCAGCGCTTGTCTGCTTCTTTATGATTTGCGAGTACGTAGCTCAATACTGTACTTCACTTGAGGTTCCGGCCCCTGCGTGAGGCTCCGTCCGATGTCTGCTTTTTCCCGCAACCGGGGATTCCACGAGGATGGTTGTCGTTCATCTGGTGTTGGCAAGAAGGTGGCTGATATGGTAACCGTGATCGACTCCATGTTGGCTGTTGGGGCGACTGGTTCGGGGTTGAGTCCCTTTGTATAATCCCCAATCCCGTCCCTTAACCGCCCACTGAGGCTGTGCAAGGAAGCAGAGCCAACAGGAGTTCCCAATCTCCCTGGCGTGAGCACTGCCCGGCCGTCACTTCCGGGCACTGGCCATCCCAGACGTGCAAATTTCTACAGCAATCGATCGTTAGATCGACGTAGCGTAGCGACAGTTTCCAGCGAAAGCCTGCCCGCTTCCACGTCCCCGGTTGTTCTGTTAGCGAGCGAACGCCGCATCATCATCCTCAGGCAGCCAAAAACCAGTCAAAGGCAACAGCTTTCTGTTGAGCGAAAGGTACTTTTGCGTACGCAGCAGTTAGCGGCCAGAGAAAGTACCTCGTCGGAGGCTCGGAGCTGTCCACCCCGTTGCGCCGTTGTGGCCGGTGAACAGGCTGTTCCTTCAACGGGCCGCTGATTCGTCTGACGCTCTGGCATTTTTGTGGGTACTGCTCGACCGAATTGGCTGTTCGGTGCTCTTCGCATCGGCTTACGCGTCCTCTCTCCCAAAGCGTGCAACATCCCTGTCACGGCCAGTGCCTGCTGCAACCAAGCCCACTTCGGGCCACCTCTTGCCAAGTCCCTTCGTCCCTCAAGTCCATCGTTTGGACATTCAAATCCGCCGCTCCCGGGTACTCCGCTCCCGCTTTCTCTTCCTTTCACACCTCTGCACCCAAACACGACTTCCAAACAACAACCATCTCGATTCGAGGTCAAAACACATCCGACGTCATTTGCTGGGACGTATAGCGAAAGGGGGAAATCATTGGAAAAGGGTCCAGCGACCGAGTTTTTTGCAACACCGGCCACTTGACACAACCGCAAGCAATGGCGGGATCGCAACCCAACGGGTTCGACCCTCTTGCCGACCTCGTCGACTTCTCAGAGTACGACGACAGCAACAACAACAACAACAACAGCAACCTCACATACCAGCATCCTAGTCTTTCGCCTTCGTCAACGACCAAGCTGTCGCCATCTCTTTCGCTCAAGACAGAAACGTCGGTCGAGTCAACCTTGTTCCCGACCAACCAAGGCTTCACAGCGCCCAGCCATCAGTACGACCTTTACAAACAGCAAACAGGCCTCGTCCCGGGCGCATTGACCACCACCCTGTCGATGAACCCACCGCATAGCTTCCTTCCAGAGTACCTTGATTTCCAACAACAGAACAGTATGCTCTTGTCGATTGGGGAAGACGAGGCGTTTGACTTTAACACGCCGCTGCAAGTGGACGCTCCCTCACTGGATATGGATTTCCAGACGACGTCGGCCGACAATATCTACCTGAACTCGACCATCAATCCCACGGCCATTGGCGGTCAAGAGCCTGATGTGATTCCCATGCCCGAGCTAACGGGTACCCCCGGCCGCGTGTGGCCCGGAATCCACCAACAGCAGGCGTTGGCCAGGGCGCAACAACAACAGAGACAGCAACAGCTGCAAGCACAGCGCGCACACGCACAGCAGCACGCCAACAAGACGCAAAAGGCCCGGTCGCCGCAGACGAGCGACTCCATCGCAGAGCAGAGCGTCCAGCAGATCCTCAACTCGATGCGGGCTGAGCCTGTCCAGTACACGCCCATCAAGAGCCTGCCTCCCGTTGCCTTCCCGAAGCAGAAGAAGCCCGAGGAGGAGATGGACGAGGACGAGAAGTTCTTGGCCAGCGAGGAGGGCAAGAAGCTCGACAGCAAGGAGCGGCGACAGCTTCGCAATAAGGTGTCGGCGCGGGCATTCCGCAGCAGGAGAAAAGGTAAGCCCGTCCCCGCATACATCACCATTGCGAAATCTGCTAACGCCATTACTGCAGACTACATCCAGTGGCTCGAAGGCGAGCTAACAGACAAGATCAACGACGCCGGCCTCCTCCGCGCTCAAAACCGCGCCCTGATCGAGGAGAACTCGCGTCTGACCTCGCTCACCAAGATGCTGCTCTCGGCGCCCGAGTTCGCAAACTACCTCGCCGAGCTGAGCTCCAACCCGCAGAAGCTTGCCCAGTTCCAGCAGCCGACCCCGACGCAGCAGCCCCAGGTTCCGTCGCATGCTGCCCCCGCGAACCTGAACCACATGTCGCTGCAACAGCGCTCGCAGCACTTCCAGCAGCAGTTCAACCAGCAGGCGAAACAGGCTAGAAAGGACGTGATTGTGCCTCAGGGGCACCAGCAGACCTTGTATGTGGCCTGAACTAAAAATAAAAACAAGAACAAGAAAAAGAAAAGAAAAAAAAAGAAAAGAAACTTGGTGCTGGGTAGGCATTGGATATCTGCCAGCAGCTTGATTTGTCAAGCAAAGGCAGTCTGTTAGTACCCTGCTGCGGAGTTGAACAATGGTTGCTGGTGTCTGGGTCTGGGGCTGCGCGCGTGCATAGCGAATTTGAGTCTCTTTCTTTGTGTATAGCTTCTGTCGTTACTCGTGTTTATTCCCCCTCTCCTTGAGCGGAAGATGGACCTCCGCGTCGATGAACGGGCTGGGAGATCTCGCTGGATTGGTACTGATTGCGTGGCACACTGTCTCCTAGTATTGTCTCGTTTGTCGTTGGTCAAATGGTCGATGGGGTATTGGCGAGTTTTGATCTGTGGGTGAGTGCCTGGAAGAAGTCTGGCATGTCTGCTAAGATAGGTAGCTCGTAGACTGAATTAGCCACCACTCTCTCTCAGCTCTTCTGTACTGTCCACCTTGTCGCTGTGTTTGGGTCAAACCCGGTTGGAACTACCTTAATGGTGTCGATGACGGTGTGGCAGCTCTCTTGTTAGCTACCAGGTAGCAAATCTATTTACACGCGCCTAATCCAAAAAAGATTCCTGGAAACAATGTCTTGAAAGCTGTTAGTCAAACAGTTCCCCATGAAGGCCATCTCGCTCTCGGTCACCCGCCGTCACATTTCCAACCTCAGTTATCGCTTGATCGCTTTCAGTTCGACACATTTGTTCTCCCCGCTTCTGGGACGTCGAACACTGCGCCCCGCCAGCTAGTGGAACCTACCTAAACAAGAATCATGATGCCAGAAGGACCTGTAATTACCATCCTGGGCGGCTTCAAAGTGCCCGTAGCCGTCCTCGACTGCTTCCTCCAAGCAGACAGCACCGACAAAACATACGGCTAGCCGTCCAGCTACAACACGCTCGATGAGCCGTCCAGGCTGCTGCGAACCAAACTGGGCGACTCCAAAACGCGCCTGTTCATACCGCACCGGCTGGGATACCAATCATCCGCCTTCGCATACGTTGCATACGACTAGAATTTTGTGTTTGCGCAACGCAAGATACTTCCGGAGGAGCTGCCCCCGAGCCCACCGCCAGGCTTCGCCGAGTTGTGCAACGAGATTACAAGGTATGCCGCCACTGAGCAGGAGCGAGAGCAGTTCCGGTTCCAACAAGACGACTTGACTGCTATGTACGTCGTCAATACCGAAGACCAATCGTACTGGTTTCGGGAGCCATAGTTTGTTCGCAACGTAAGTCACCATTGATTCCTGGCCCAAAGTGCACTCCTGCCATATCCATACTAATCCCATACAGCCACTGCTGCACGTAGTCTGATGTGCGATGCGACCACTCTGAAGCGACTTTTGAGACGGGGTTCGAGAAAGTGATTCATCGGAGGGATGTTCATTGGTCCAAGGAATTATCAACCGATCTGCCGAGCGACCTCTAGACCCGGAGTTTGATTTGTACAGCTGTTCACTCGACGCCGGACTAGACCCTGCCGGAGTCAATGATGCATATCGTGTCAGATATCCAATTACTATCCAGGTCTACCCAGGTACCTACGTAGTAATGTCGACACGTCAATGTGACTAAAGCAATGTCCGGAGCCTCGACTCGGTTGCCGTCTGGCAAGACAATGGCGGCCAGTGTAGAGGCCAGTGACCGAGGTTGTGAGTGAGGTTGTTTCTTAGGGGGTGATGTTGCCTGTGTTGTCCGCTGTGGGAGGCGGCTTAGTTGGGGTTCAGGAGGTGGTCGTCCGTCTGCGGTGGATAGTGGAATGGCGGACTGGGTGACAGCTCTCGTCGTGATGGGTGTTTCTCGGGCGTTGATCGTCCTAGTCTGAGTCCCAGGCAGTAGCGGAAGGCCTGCGTTTCTGCATATCTGTGTGGGGGTAGCGGTGGGGGTGGCGGGGGCTTGTTGCTTCAGGGGGGGGTAATTCGTAAGTGTGGTTCGCCTTGTATTGTTCCAATTCTAGTTTGAGTTGGGGGATCAGATGGGTACTGACTTGAGGAGACCGCCTTGACGCCGCCGCTGCTGACTGACAGGAACTAAGCCTACCATGGGAATGGAGACCTGAGTCGGGAATGGTTTTGGCTTTGGCTAGCTCGGTGTGAGGAACTGTGTTGGTTGCGCAAGATGCATTCCTTGCTTGGTGGATTGGGAATATTGAGGATCGGCTTTGTCGATACCTCCAGTTGCTGCGCTGCTGATCATCTACATCGTCCTGATACCGAGGCCTGACCGCCCTCGCCTCCTCCCCACCATCGCTGACGCCGAGGAGGCGAATGTTTCGATTTCTTCCCAGATTGTCATATCCCAGCCGTAGCTTCAGGGATCTGGGCCTTTGTCTTCGGCTTCACGATGATCGCAGGATTAGCCGCTACGTTCGAGGGAAATGATCATGGTTTAGGGATTTGAGCCACTACCTGGCATCTGGACGAGGTAGGAATTGTCGTGATTAGTCGTCCATCACTTGACGAACTCAACATCATTCACAAAACTTCTTGCTGGCTGGAAGCGCAGCGGCAAGGAAGTTAAGCAGACAATGAACGCCGGGCACCAGACGCCAGACATCGAGCTGCGGTTGTGTTCCTTCTCTCGAGCCACCGCCACAACTCAGTGCAGGCATCCCTCACATGCCTCCGACAGGCACATTGGGATATCTCCATGAGCTGCTAAGCAACCTCCCGGGTGTGCTTTCCGACATCAAGTTTCCTGGTCGACCAGATTGACGAATCCAGAGCCATAATCCCAACCTCGCCCAATGCAAGCGACAGTCCACCATACTTAAACCACCCTCTCACGATGACGTCGGCCGGGTGCTGGTACGGGCTCACCAAACACTGCTCCGCCTAGCAAACCACCATTAAATCTCACCAGCCGTCCTCCACCGACAATTTCCGGCGGCAGCATACGTCGCCGAGCCCGAGTTTCGCTTACAGCTCCTAACCCGACAAGCCCTGATCGCGCAGGTCGAGTCATCTGACTGGGCTCGGGTCGAACGACAGTCTATGTGGTGACTGTAATGAGAGGCGAATGGGGTTGGCGGAGGACGGCAGGGAATGGTTTCAATGCTACGGCGTTGAGGAGGGGGATGGCGAGATTCATCTGGGGCGGTTGCTGTGGATTTGGCGAGAGTTCGTTTTTGGAGTTGACAGTGATAGGAAAGGGTCTTGAACTTCAAATTGAAGTAGATGGGTTTGAATAAGCGTTTCATATGAGGGATGTCTCACTGTTGAAGACTTGGCACATGTTGTGAATTGAAGACACCTGGTACCTTGCCCAGAGGTCGGACACCTCCATGTAAGAAGGGCAGGCAAGCCAGTCAGTTCGAACTATTTGGAGGTAGTTATCCGTCCTGGAAACTTGAAGCGTATCGGAAACTTGAAAGTGACACATCAAACGTGTTACGCAGCCAATTGCCAACCAATTTGGGAAAATACCTCAGTATACCCAACATTATGACAACCTTCCTTTTCCAAAACTGAGAACATGATATCTTCTCCCAAATTACCGACATGAATCATTTTCTCTAGTTTCTCCGATCACGAAGAAGAAATGGACGGCCTTTTTCCAACATTCCTGCCGTATTCGTTACCAAACCCGACTGCCTTGACAGCGCCCCCATGCCCAGATCCCGAAATCAGGTACCGTACGGTACGGACGTCGCTAACTGGCCCAACTGTCGACATGCCTTGAGCTCTGTTGCACCCAATTCGGCATGCCCGCAGCCCGATGCAAGGGTTCTTCTCCCTCTCCACAATGGCACGCTGATCGATAATCCACCGCGGCGGAAGCGAGAAGTCGAGATTAAGGCGACGCCGTGGGGTGACAATGATGGCGACACTAATTGGCTGCTGCTTTGCCCTTGGCGTCGGCTCTCCGCCCAGTATTTGACAACTGAGCCTCCAATTCGACAATAGCATTCGCAGCCTTTGCTTTGTAGAACGGAACGCGAGCTCGAGCATGGGGATGGAAGGTATGCTCGGACACGCGACCATGGAGGGTGGCATCATCACACGTGTTTTGATCGAGAAAGCGATCGAGGTTGTAAGTGTAAGCTTTGGCATCTGACCGACCGAATGTTGCTATGGAGCTTGATGAATTGACGTTCTCTGTGGATGGAGTCCTTGAAGGGGAAAAATTGACGTGATCAGCAAGACTTATCAAAAAAGGTGGTTATGGAGGTGTGTATCTAAGATGTGTGAAGCGGGATGGTCGCCTTGATACGGCGCCTTAGGGAACCTTACAGATTGCCGGCTTCTGGCGAAGGAAGATGACATTGAGGGTTAGCGTTCATTCTGAGCAACAGAAGGGCATAAGATGCAATAAGGTATGCTCGCGTCGTTGCGTCGTGAGACAAAGGAGCTGAACAAAAAGTGATGAAGAAGTAGTAACAACCCAGGGAGAGCTCCAACAATGCTTTATGAATAAGCCCGAGTTTATATAGGAATCTGAGCACCAAGTTTTCAGGGACCAGACATGAGGAACATACATGGTTTTGACCCGTATGTCATGGTCGCTACCAACATGCCTGTTGGGGCGTAGGGAATGAAGTTGGGACGTAATGAAAGTTGGGGCGTAAGGGAAGGAGGGCCAATCCCAAATGTGCGAATGGCCCGCAGCCTCAGCATTTGAGGCGGACACTTCAAGATTTCAAAGTGGGGGTGAGAGTTGAGAGGGAGGTAGGGAAGGACTGAACCAACCCTGGTTGCGAGGCTGTCGCCTTGCCAAGATCATCCAAGGCAGTGGTCTCGGTCCGCGAACCAGTGTGGCTTTATATGAGCTCAAGTGGCGCCCGCCCGACTTTCCCATTCACTATCCTCGACAGACCCATCACACGCTCAAGCCATGTATTCCAAAACATACCTTAGGTATCGTCGACGTCCACGCCTAGGTCGAACTATTGTCGCATTGGCGCCCTACATCCCTGCTCACAAACTAAGTGCTTTCTCGATGCCGTGCCCCAGTTTCTCTTTCGGACATCAGTTATCCGCTGAGATATAAGCTTGCTTCGCAGGTTCTATGCTCTCAAGAGAAGAGAAACGCGGAGTGAAATCAGTGGGAGGCTGCGCTGTCAAGCGAAACGTTTGTTGGCCTCTTCTGCAAATCGCTGAAACGAGGACGCTAACACGGACCTACCTTGGGCAGGCTAACCTAGCTGGTATTGCCAGCCCCGATTTCAATAGAGACACCTAGGACGACTGCCATCGGTGAGGCTGTTTAATCATCTCCTGCCCGCCGAAGGAACTCCCTCAGGCTGGACCCTCCGGCAGCGGCTCCCGAGGATCGGAAGAGCAAGAGCAAGAGTAAAAACCCCAACCCCAGCTTCAACAGGAACGGCTCTCGATCTCGCTATGTGTCACCGCCCAAGCGGTTCAACCTGAAAGCAAACAAAGCACATCACCAGACGTTCCTTCAGAAGGGGCGGCTGTGGGATCCGGAAGTTGAAGATTTGATATGTATTATTATTCCTACACCGCTGTGCCCTCGGGCTTGCCGGACCTTCAACAACTTGCTATACAGGAAAACCGCGCCCTCGTGGGCCGGGTGAAAAACCCATATCGACAATCAAGGAAACGATCAG